GGGAATGAGTGAGAGGGATTTTAATACAGAGGAGGGGAGGAAATGGGAGGGATTTTAATGTTTCCTAGTTAGAGGAGAGGGAAGAAGTGGGGTTTTAATATTACCTTATTTGGTTTGAGAGGGGAGGGTAATAATAATAATAAATGGACTATTCTGGCCCTATGAAATTTAAGTTCTTTTTTCTCTTTAAAAAACTTAAAAATAGTTATATTTCATGTCATCCTTATTTCATTTTAGAAATGTCAACATTTTTCACCTTATGACGCAAATCTTATGTCACAAATCTCATGTTACTTATCATAATTCTTGTATTAACGTATTTAAGAAGTTATTAGATTAATTTAATTGCATAGTCTCATGATAAATACTAACATTTTAGTAGTAGCAAAAGCATAGAGTATACTACAAATGCTATAAACAAAATATGGCACCAAAGGCATGGTACGAATGATAAAATTTTAACAGTAGCAAAAGCATAAAGCTACAGTTTACATATCACATTATAAGCAGTTTAATAATAACAAAAGCATCAAGGAAGCAACCGTGATAGATCATATGACATTTTTTCTAAAAGTTGTTGCTAAGGGCAATATGGGAATGATAATAGTTACAAGGTAATTGGGTCGTGTTAAATTGGAGTGCACTCCTTCCTCCAAATCCCCCCACTTTTGGCCCTCCGCTCCTTATTTTATTGAAACAAATGAGAGGTGGGGAGCAAAATCCTTCTCCTCCCATCCCATTCACACCAAATCCCTGTAAGGCCTTAACCAAACGCATAGGAAAACTGATAAAGCTCCCACCTTTTCTGCCAAGAATCAGACGGGTTAATACCAGTTGATTTATGGCATAAGCCAAAAAAACAAAATCCAAAACTCATTCAGATCAATTCCATGTTCCTTCTGCCGGAGTTATACTAAATAGAGGCTTCGATTAAATACCCTAATTACTTGTTATCCAAATTCTCTAACCAATCCTAAGTCCTAATTCTCATATGAAAAATACAACATACAAGATTATTCTAGTGATCAGACCACCATTATTTCTTGGAAAAGTCCCACCTATTTGGACAAAAACCAAGCTACTACTTGTACCAAACAATATGATTTCTTCACATGATGAACAGGTCAAACATCTTATGGAAAGGATGGATGAGAGGAGAAAAGGCTACTGCTATTGGTGTCTATGATGCTATACTTTAAACCACGAGAGTTTGCAAATTTTTATGATATTGGTTCACAAGGAAGGAGTATTGGGACGCCCATGGTGGCGAAGAGAAGTTCATTAATTACCCTTTATAGGATAATTTGACTGATATCATTGAATGCTATTGAAGGGAGGGGTGGTCAGTTAACTAGATGGAAGATTGAAGAACTCGATTTTGATTTTAATGGACACTGCAACACAATTTTTCTGATGCAGCACAAAAGAATTTAGTATCGTGCAACTTGTCGTGGCACTTACGGAGACTAGGTGATTTTGAAATCTTTCACTTGGATGGAGTTAAACTTGCCTACTTCAACTTATCACCCTCAATTCGATGGTCAAAATGAAGTTCTAAATAATTGTTTGGAGTAATACCACCATATTCTTGTATGTGTTACAGAATTTAGATTAGAAAGAGAGGGAAAAAGAGAAAGGAAACAGAGACAAAGAGCAAATCTGAATATGCAATTCTTATCAGAAATCAAGGTCAGAAATTAGGTACTGTACTGCCTCTTATTTACAGGCATTATTCTCATCTAAATATGTATCCTAATCTATCCATATTCTACTAATATGATGATAATATAATTAAATATCTAATTTTATTTAAATCCTATTTAAATCTATTTAAATAATAAAGCGTATCTAAATCTATTTAAATCCTAACCAATTCTTAATTCTTTTCTTATTTATAGTAATTACATAACAGTATGTTTGTTGCTTGATTGATTTGAATGCATGCATGAGTTTAACATTTTATAAATTGAGTTGCGATGATGAAATGTTTTCAAGCGTCCCTTGAGACGAAGAAAGAAAGAGAGCCTTGTGGCTTGAAGGACCTTCATGACTAGGAACCCTAGTGGCTACTATAGCCATTGTGCCTAAGAATGTGCCTTCATGGCAAACCAAGATGGCAAAGGGTTGAACATAGTAGTTCTCCCTAGCGTCAGTAAGATATTGAGGGAAGGTTATGTAAGGTGAAAATGTCAGTAACGTTCACTATCTCCACAATGAATATTTAATGCATGGTTGTATTTGATTGTTTGAGTGAACATATGTATACATTGAATGGTTGTTTAGTAACCTTCAACCAGTACACACACACACAAACATGCAGAATGTAAGCTGATTTGATCTGGTATTTGGAAAATCTCATTTTTGCTTCTTGTGATTGTTCCAAAAGCGCTTTCTGTTGTCGAATGATCTGTCTAAAGTTGCCTCTAGATTAGCCAATCATTTTAACATGGTATTCAGAACTGTTTAATATTTATTGCCATGAACCTTTTTTTTTCCCCTTGTAACACCATGGGGGATTATTATAATATACTCCATCCGATCCATAATATAGGATATATTTGAGATATCTTATTTGGTCTAAGATAGAGTATTGAGTAGTTTTTATAATTTTCTTCCAGCTGTACCCTTAATTTATTATTCATATTTTATAAATTTCAATTGTCATTATTAAGACACTTATATAAACATTTAATGAGAGTATAATTGAAAAGGTATACAATTTTTTAGAAGATTAAAGTTCGATGAACTTCATTTGAAAATCATAAATTAGTTATCAATACTAGTTTTGATGTGCCATTTCGACAGGTTGTACAGCAAAGACAGAAAGAGAAGAATAAAATCAATCTTTCCAAATCTGAACTGTGGATGCTCTTTGGAAGCGGCACTAATCAGGTGTCGCATTTATGTTGTATGATTGCTGACATTGTTGATTGTCATAAACTTCAGTATAAGTGTCACAGCTATAAAAAGTCGACGAAGTCATTTTGCGGGTGTTTTGATGAGAGCGTTGTTTATAGTCTGAGTTGGGATATGTTGATCTTTCAGGGCTTCTTTTAACAGACACTAGATGCTGACTTCTATATTCTTGCCATCAAGATTTTCAATTAAAGAATAATTTGTATAATTTTTTAATTGTAATATATATGCTTCGATTACAAAATGCGGACATAATATATTTATTATGATATTTCTTTTATACATTTTTCATGTCAGATTGAAATTTAATCAAATTGTAGGGATCAATTTTGGGTCTGTCTTCACCGTTCTAAATTTTTAAGGTGCACAGTCTTATTATAATTGAAGGGGGAATTAAGGGCCCGTTTAGTTAGGCATTTGGGAGCCTCTTAAAACTCGTTTGGAGCTAGAAAATGTAATTTGAAAGGAACAAAATAAAATAAATACTGTTTTGTTGCATATTTATAATTGTGCGTATTTAATAGTTTAGCGCACACATTTTCTTGTGATAATATAAATTTTTTATTCAATCAACTCTATTACTTTGATCATATAATGTTCATATTAAATTAAAAATATAATAAGAAAATTTAAGAATGTAATAAATAATTACAATTCTAGAACATAATAAATAAATATATAAATGAAATGTAGTTGGAAAATGAAATAAATTTCTTTATTTGTTAATAAATATATGGGGAAATATAATCAGACTTTGTAAAGAAAATAATAATTGAAAATCTTGAATTATTAAATATTTTTATTTGCAATTAAAAATAAATAATTATTAAAATAGTCAAATCGAAACCTTTCGAGTGTTAAATTGTTACAATATGGCTCTTGGACTAAGAGACAGTAACCTAGACATAAATGATGTTTTTGTTCCTAAAATATTCATGAAGGAGCGAGCTAGGAGTATGTGATATATATACTAACATCACATATAGAAAACGGGTTATGGGTGATATTCGCCTCTTTCCTCTCCATTAAGTTTTGGTATGGACTTTGGTAAACACTTTCTAAGAATTAGAATTCATATATGGGATCTCAGTGTGATTTTCCCATAATTATTTACCAAAGCTCAATGGAGAGGAAAGAAGCGAAGCGTACTGGAGCTGCTAGCAGAATTATGGGGTTGTTCTTGGATGGGCTAGAAACCTGATGGAATGCAGGCAACGGAAACATAAAGTCAGAACTTGTAAAGGGAGTTGATGATGATTTGGTCTCAACAGTACACTCAGAAGAGAACCAACTCGATGTTTCATAGCCACCTTTTCCAGAGGATAAGCTTGATTAGAATAGGTGGGCACGTTTAGACAAACAATACGTCCTAGGAAGCTAATGGATGTACAAATTGGCTAAACTCACACCACTTGAATATGGAAGTGGGGTTGCTTTACAAGGCTGCCAGTCCTATAGACATTCAGTTGTCTCTAGGAGACTGAACCAGTGTTTTGACACCATGAATCATATCAACTTAGTTTTAACATTTATTTTCTCGATTAAAAATAAGAGCCTAAATTATTTGCTCAAAGAAATAAAAAGGTATGCAATTAGTAATAAATCATGCTTTTCGTAAAACCACAATGTTTGATGACATGAAGGTTAGGGCACACAATTTGAAGTTTAGGAGTTCCTTATCAAGTTTTAAAGATTAAAAAAACTACTTACATGTAGGTGATTTTTTTTTTTGGGCCAACTTATAGGTGAAAATTTATCTAAGTATTCTATAATTCAACTGTAAACATTCTCGATATTTTTTAAGGGTCCTTCTTTGTCATTCTTCCTTTTAAATTATTTGAAGAATCTGGATATACAATCATTAATCATCCCAACCACTCTCCGCCGTCCTTACCGTCTCCAATACTCCATCAGAATATCGTGCATTCTTGGTGGTGGTTTTTCCTGTGGCTTCCCCAAATACAGGCAACCAGTGAGTCAACATCAAAGTTCCTAACCCAAATTAGGACGCGGAAGGAAAAAAGACATCCCAGAAAACGATAAAGTCGGAAAGTGAACAGGAATGATGTATTGTACTTCACCAATAAGACAAAAGCAATAAGCATTATATTATATTGTAAAATAAAAGAATCGAGACAAAACGGTCAACTTAGGCAGGGGCGGCTCTACATGATAAAAGATGCCCATGATTTGAGTTCCATTACAGTTTCATATCAAACGCTGGAACAATTTCAGCGCACTGCGATGTATTTATTTCGGCAGTCATTTGACAAAGCTCAATATCAATGCTGATTAGTCACTACTAACACTTGCATTGGACCACAAATATAATCACTGCACAGCTGAAGTAAAATAGCAAGCAGAAGAGGACCCTCGAATCGGTAGCTCCTTCTATACTGTCCCAAAATAACCATTTTTTCTAAGGTGATCGTGGGTGGGGTATGAGTGTTCATTTACCTCATCCATAATTAAGCATCTTCTATCCCAAGCAGATTCAATGATTCTGGACCAACAAGGAATATACGTCTTGGGGTTTGATATCTGAAAACGACTATTCCCTTATAGGCGGTCCTGGGCACACCATCCTGAAATGTTCAGAAAAGGCAAACAAATTTATATCTTTCTAGGACATAAGAAGCATCAACACTAGAACTTTACAATCTGTGGTATACATTACATGCAAGCTATATGTAGCCAATAATATAATAAGTACACCAACAGGCTACATAGTTTTGAAAGTAAGTTCTAGCTAGGCAGGTAGAAAAATAATTAAACTACCTTCCATTCTTGAAAAATACCAAACTGGCGTGCAATGTTTTCAAAGTCAGACTGATCTTTATACTTAATACGCACATCACCATCTATATTATATGCCTTTAGAACTAAGCCAGCTCCATATACAGGTTTAGCTTTTTTAACAATGTCTGAGAAGTGCTTGATATATTTGTCCTGGAAACAGCAATACAAGATTCAAAAATCAAAACTTATGATACGTATGCTTATGCGCGCACTAACACAGAACAAAACATCTCACCTCCAGCAAATAGCTCAAGTTCATTGACTTCCAATTAACCTTCAAACAACACAAGGCAATAAAGCATCATTCCAATCTACAAGGAACATGTCTAGGGTGTATTTGAATAAAAGGATATATGCATACCTGGACATCATTCAATTTAATTGGCTCAAGATATTGCTTAAAAAATTGTCCCAAACTAGAACCCTGCAGAAAATTACAAGACTTAAAGTGGGGCATGGAAAATCCCATCAGGCAAGATGTGAGACGCATGTTACACGTGTTTCTTTTTAGCGCTTTTGTTGGCCACAATCAAACAATACAGCAAGCTGAAGATAAAATAAGCATTCCAATATTTGAAAATAATATTTATATAGCAATGCAATAAATTCCCACTAGTTTAGAAGATGCAAGAGAATAACACACATGCTAGTAAGGGAGGTGAAACAACCAAATGGAGAATCTGATACGAATGTACTAACAGAAGGAAAAATCTGAAGAGACATCATTGATTGTGCGTTTCAAATTACCAATGCTTGAAAAATCATACAGTTGGAATCTCATAATTATATGAACATTATGAGATAATTATTTCCTGATACCACATGAGATTTAGGCATCATGGTCACTTTATTTTTCCATGTTTATTCCATTAATGACGCGCTGCTTATTAAGTACTTATTTCCTTGCTTTCCTCCTTGATTTATGAAATTGGTTGGCTGATTTCTAGAGTCAACCATTTCTTTCATATACATCGCTTTCATTTCAAAATAAGAATCATAACATATAACATACACTATACCAGTTAGATTTGAGCATTATTAGGACTAATTATGAATGGCTCTCCCGACATGATTTTTAATCCATAGGTTTGAACCCTTGACCTCATTTAAGAGGTATCAATGTTTAAAAAACTGGACCAGCCGGACTGTCCAGTCCATTATTCAGAATAGAACTGGGAATTGGTTTCGACCAGGCCAGATCCAGTCGAACCAGCAGAAAATTAATAAAATCGTGGACAGAGAAAACTGACATGAACCATTTGGAATTTTTTTTTTTAAATTAAATCATGTTTCTAAGATATATTTCATGCATATCTATACATTATAAGCATTGGAAAAAAAAATTTGGTAGAAAAATGTGCAAGGAATATGTATGTTTATAAAACTATAAATTTTAAAATAATTATATACATCATATAAAGAGAAAATTAATCATTTGATTGCTATAATTTTGATCCATTTGTAACTCAATATCTAAACTTTGACTTGTTGTAACTCGGTCCTTATAGTTTTAACTCAGTTGTAACTCAATTCTTGAATTTTGACTCTTGCGGCTTAGTCCCTACAATTTTAACTACTTAAAATATAGGTCTTTATATTTTAAAAAATAAAAATTATGAAGATTAAAACTATTTTAAAATTTTAATCTTTATAAACATTAAAAAGGTTTAGTAACTTAAAATATTGTCCTAAATTTTAACATAATTTTAATATTTATAATTTTAGTTTTTACAATATAGGGACCAATATTTTAAATAGTTAAAACTAGAGGGATTGAGTTGCAATAGTCCAACTCCAGGAATTGAGTTAAAACTATAAGGATCTAGTTACAATAAATTAAAGTTTAGGAATTGAATTACAATTGAGTCAAAACTACAAGGACCGAATAATTAATTTTCCCTTATATAAATATATATCTCATAATTATTTTCTTTTTTAATTATTAAATATTTGTTACTTTTCTTAAATTATATTTTTGAAAATCAGTCATTTTTTGATTAATTGAAGAGAAGAAAACCTCTCACCTTACTTTCCAATTTTTATATACTAACAAAATGGTATTTAATAATAAAAGAGCAAAAAATCATTTAATCTCATCTTACAAATTTAATTTTGTAAAATAATATTTTATAAAATATTACCTCTAATGTTATATTTGACATATAAAATTAGAAAAATATTAAATTAATCATTACTGGCCTGACCATGGCCCAATTCCAACCATTGATCCTTGAACAATTACCTTCCTTGGTTCAACGACCAATTCAATTTTTAAAACCTTGAGGACCCTTTCTACTTGACCCAACTAATCTTGGTATTTCTACAAATAACCACTAGCGGATTTTAAAAAAATTAGCCATTTTTTTATAGTATTTTTATACTATCTAGAAAATGTAAATGAGAACAGACAAACAACCACCCTACAAAGTAGCCATTGGCTGAACATGATGGAGAAATAAAAAGACATATCGCATATAAAAAATGGAGTGTGATTTCTCAATGATCAAGCACCACCATTAGGCCAAAAGCTACAATTGTTAGTCAAGGTGCAAACCCAACTCCCCCCAAACACAGACACTTGGGGATTCAAATCCCATGACCTCTCTCTGATACCAATTGTAGGATCATGTGCAACTACTAGGCTAAAAGTTATAATAGTTAGGCAGGACATAACTTTATTTCCTTAAGCTTTCTTAAGGGGCAACACTAATTATCAGTGCCTTGAATTGGGATGTCTAGCACATCAAATCCCAAGGGACAAGTTGACCAAACCTTCTCTATACCAAGTATGGTAAAATAAGATTTCTGTTAGGTATAACATTCAGAAGATAAAAAAGCAATGATACAACTGGAATTTTTATAGAAGTTGCCAAAGAAATTTAAGGGCTTAAGGTGGTTTCAGATGCTTAAGAAATGAACTCATATTATGCCTGCATGCAACCAGAGTACCTAATTACAATGTACCCAAATAAGCATATAACTCATATAGCTAAGAAATTCGAGTATGTTTGGATGCCTTATAGAATATGAAAGTTTACCAATCACCTTAGTAATTTCTTGAACCAAAAAATCATCTTAAAATGCTGCCCTCATATATAACGTAGTGCCAATAAAGTTCATAAGCCAACCATCCAATACAATGGCAATACCCTAAATAAAACAAGAACACTTACATGCTCGCCAAAATTATATGTTCTGCATACTTCTGGACGGATAAATTGTCGCCCTTTGTGATTTTCTTTTAATCTCAACCAGTCATCCCAATAAGTGAAATTTTGTCAAAGAAAAATTATAGGCAAGTATAACATTCATAGAAGAAACAAAAATGGCATAATAATTACTAAAATATCAAGGATATGCCTTTGGCCATTTTGGTGATAGCTCATCCCATGTATATTTGTTAAGCATCCATCCTAATCCAGGAAAGAAGTCTGACCGATAAAGTTCATCTGCAGATTACATCAAGCTTATAATGTACCCGAAAAGCAGTAGCAATCTTCACCCCGAATTGTTTCACCCCATCATAAGAACTTCAGGAGCATGAGCTTCTTAATAAGAAGGCATCTCAAAACTTGGGCACTCTAATTTTAAGACAACGATTGCAAAACAAGCTAGTAAAATTGTAATAGATTATCTATTAAGTAAGAATCCATTCATATGCCAGTATGACTTCATGCACCTGTGGATGTCTTAGATGTGTTTGATAAAATTGAAACAAGAGAAACAAGGAACAAAATGGAGAAAAGAAAACGTTTAATCCAACATACTCCAATCCCTTTGCATGTCAACAAAGGGCACTTCCTCATAATAACTATGCATTGAACATCAAGAGGCCATAAAAGCAATCCCACAGTAAGGTCCTTTTAAATCGGCTCAACGGGAAAGTAACAGAACTTATCCACTCCAACAAGAACTGATGAACCATTTTATATATGTTTGGATTAACTTATTATTAGTGCCTATAATCCCTCTACAAGCTGATTGCAGCTTATTTTCACAAGCCTCAAATCCAATTTCATGAAAATAAGCTCCTGCAAAAGCTCAAAAATAGTTTAGGCAGAAGCTGGGCTTGCAATAATTTTGAAAAAAATTATTATTTTTTATCAGCTAGAGCACTTCTCAGAGTGACTATCTGATGAATTTCCTTAAGTATTATAACTACAAACAAGTATCTACCAATGTATAAGTCTTAATAGATAGCTACAGGTGTGGAAAATGTAGAAAGATGAAAGAAAACAGCCAGTGTCACTAAGAGACTAAACTCCTAGCACTTTGAGAGGTTAGACTCCCCCACCACAAAGCACATACCACATGCTCTTTCATCGGACCCACCCCCTCTTATTTTACTCGACTCATTGTTTCCTCTCTTCTAAATGCCTTGAGTACAGGGTCACTATTTGCATCTTTTGCCCTTTCTAAAATGGGCTCTCAAGACTCGTATCCCTCTTTTTCTTACTCTTCCCAGGCCCAGTTTTCTGGCCTCTTGCTGCATAAGTAAGAAGTAATGGCCCATTTCCATCACTACCCAAATACAATTTAGCTTCTTTAGATCACTCTTACAATAACAAAGCTTAACTCATACACTTTTCTTAGATAAGCACTTCTATAAGCTATTTAAACAGAGCCAAAGCATGTGGACAAACATTTCCCCTCATAAGCAAGTGCATTTCGCAATAAACATTTCTTTTCCCACAAAAATTAAAAAAAAGAAAAACCAAAGCAAAGCATCAATAGCATACTGCATACTCCAAAAGAACTCTATCTTATAAAAATTAATCAAAAGAAATTGCCTCAAGCTCTGAAAGTGAGCGCACAGCAAAGATTCACCAAACACAAAAAAAAAAAAAAAATAGTTTTTTTGGAAATGGAACAAGAACCAGTAAATGCTAAAGGAAACAGAAAAAGTAAACAGGGATTTATGGTGAAGGAGAGAAAGAAAACAGCCAAGGTACGAGGTAAACCAATTGCTATTTGCATATCATGAATAAGGTGAAATAAATCAGAGCGGTCTCAACTTAAGAGTGCTTTCCAAATCAGTTGTTAATATGCCCAATGGTGACAATTATATGGGCATAATTTTAAATCCCAGGCTTCCATTTAAGTACTGTAAATGAAGTATACAATACAGTGCGGTGATGAAAACTGAACAAACTTACAAGGATCATGTACGAACTGTTTTTGCCCATTGTCATTCCATGAGGAAACCGCCAAAATGGACCTACAACAGACAATATTAACTCTTAAACATAGACAACCAAGGGCAAAAAACTGAGCACTCCATGCTTCATGAATGCATACCTATCCTTGTCAAGAATAGTTGATGCAGCTTCAAAGTAATCAAAGAAATCAGGTGCTATTTCCATGTCATCTGAGATTGAGTGAAGATATAACAAGGACCGATACAAACCAATAAAAAAATACAAATAATTCTTACAGAAAAAAAAAAAAAACCATTTCACCTTCAAGAATGATTACCCGGCTGAAATTATGCTTATAGAATAGCTGATCCAGAGCCCACTTGTAATGACCTGAGAAAGTCAAGCCTGTGCATAAATAGTTGTACAATCTTTTTTTTTTTTTTTAAGTGACAGAAAGTCTGCATCAATATGCAGGTCTGTGTATTATGAAATCTTTTAAACTGCGCAGAAAAATCTCAAATGCAACCTTCTATTTATTTGGAGACACAAAACTTAGACACAGAAAACTAGAGGATAACTCTTACGTGCAATCTTGTAATAAGCTATTAACTCCCCTGGCCTTTCAGTTTGCACTGGTTCAAAATCCAAGTGCTGCATCAAATTATTATCAGCATGAAGGATTGTTCCAACCAGTAAACTACAGTCTACAATAGCTTGCGTAAACAGAATTATTTTGCTCAAAATAATCTCATCCATGCCACTTGTAACCAAAAACCTATGTGTTTTGCGGCTGCCACTGGTTCCATATTTTGAATAAATAGTCGATACAATATGTAGGGATTTTGAGGCTTAGAGATATGAGAATCTCTTCCTAACTAATCAAGGATGTCCTAGGATTTAATAAGTAATAATTAAAAACAGAATAGGATAAATGACAACATAAAGAAATAAAAATAACCAAAAGACATTATTATCCCTAACAGCATAGCCGCACTCTCCAACACTCCCTCTAAAGCTAGAAAATGAATATTCAACATTCTCAGCTTGCTTCGTAGTTCTACTGGTTTGCACCCCAACATACTGGTTTCTTCAACAGAACAGAGTGTGCTTCATTTGAGCGACAACAATCACTTTCTTGGACCTAGCCACCTGCATTCCCAGGAAATACTTGAGACATTCTAGGGTCTTTAATTTAGATTCCTTGGCAAGAGAGCACTTCAACTGTTCAATCTCATTTTTATCATTTCTAGTGACTACCATGTCATCTACATAGACTGTAAGGATAGTGATTAGCCCAGACTTGGAATTGTTTTGTAAACAGCATATGATCAGCATGTCCACTCCATACAAACTCTTCTGTTGGAGTATGTTGAGCCCAATGCTAAAAATGGGCTGAGTGTATACAAGGAGGGCTGCTACAGGGCCAACTGGAGAGAAGTGGGGCAAGTTTTATAAATTATGCGGAGAAAGGTAAAAGGGATATAAGAGGTGGTAGCAGTGACGTTTAGACAACAAGCAACTAACTCTTGACTGTTTTCTTGAAGTGAAAGAATAAGTTGGGACAGGGAAGGGATATAAGAGGTGGTAGCAGTGATTTCGGTGTTGTTTGGGAGAGAATCTGACCTCTTGAAAGTCAGGATGCTCCCTCTTTCGTCTATCCTTCTGCATCAGCTCTTTGTTTGCCAATTTCAGAGAATTTTCCTAGCTGTATCAGGGGGATCAGTTTTGTCATTCTAAAGAGATGTAAATATCCCTTATGCATTAATATAATCCAACTTTCAATCAGAAAGATGTTGAGATTCTTGCAAGTATTCTTTCCAGCAATTCTTCCTCTTATGTTTCTCGTTTTTACCACTTTATTCTCTGTACCTTTCAAAGGCTTCCAATGCAATGGGAATACCACAATGGAAATGGTGTCCCTCATGTTATTATTGTCCGATTCAGGCTTAACATAATGCACAAAAGACAAATAAGTGATCATGTAAAATTAAAAAATAATACTAAATAAACTGAGTTCATCTTAGAAGCATAGAAACTCAATTATGTATCAATATACCTGCATATAAGTTAACTGATCGTAGCTCAAAGCCTTGCTCTTGACACTTGGATCTGATCCATCCTGAAAAACGAAAAATGACCACCCTCAGCTGTGTCTTGCATGCGTTAGAAAAATAATGACTGACTGAGCCAGTCCAACAAGACTCCCGAAACTTCTTTCACAAGCCAGAAGTCATCCAATACCTGGGATATAAATAATGGATATTTTGAAGAAAGGGATCTTTGATATCTGGAGAATGAAGTTTATACCTCTTCAAGTTAGATAAATTGTTAAAAAAACGCATAAGGCATTAGAGTAACTAAAAAATGTTCATATTATGCATACTTCAACACAGAGTTAATAGTCCTCTCTAGATAATCAGCACGGTTGCATGCCATGATCACAACAGCTGCCACTGGGACCTAGAAATTTCAGTGGGGAGAGTCATCCATATAATCAGTGGCCTTAAACTCTAGGAAGAAAATGTGTAGACAAAAAATCTTATCACTAACAAATTTGAGTCAAACCTGTTCTTTGTCAATCAGCCTCTGCAGTCCTTTCCCTGAAATATAAATATTTACAAGAATGGTAAGTTCCTGGGTATCAACTATCAAGTAGACAGCCAAATATCATATTACATTGAGATAAAAGCAAGCATTTCCTCCTAGATTTTTCAGAACAATAAAGTAATATTGAATCCTTGATTACAATTTTATGGAAAACGTGCCCTCACTTTCTTACCAAAATAAATAAATTGCCTCAATATCTTGAGGCCCAAAACAAATTGTCACAATATCTTAAAAGGCCATCCAATTATGACGTGCTGTCACAGTATCTTGATGGCCAAAAAACATTGTCACAATATCTTAAGGTCATTCAATTATAAAGTTCCCAATTACATATTCGCCCCTCAAACAAAGTTTATTATGGCAAATTGCGTCCAGCATTCAGCATTGAATTGGTTTCAAATTAAATTCAATTAAAAACTAAAAATTGTTTTTCTACCCATCTAAAGTCTGGAATAGACAAATTAATGGGATGTTCTCAATTTGCATAGCAAAGGAAAATGTTTTTATTCGCATATAACAGTTTAAGATATATTATTGAAAGTGGTATTTTAATTTAATATAATAAAGCATTAAAACAAGAACAATCAAAATAGAGGGTTCTTCCATCAATGAGATACCAATCTAAGCCCCACATTGAGTAGCACAAGATGCTCAACGAGCTATTTAAGCAGGTTAGTTCTTCCATTTCAATAGTTAGCTTTCAAAGGGAAGGATCCCATCCCACTTGAGTATCCACCAATTGGTATCATAACTAATGGCCAACAATTTTCGAAAGGACAACCTACATAGGGTTCTGATCAATTCAACAAGTGAAGTGTCATAAAGTACAATCACCAAAACACTAAGTGGTAAACATTTCCCATTTCACAATGATGGTAGTCCTTGTTTGTAGCCTTGTAACTTTAAGACCTTTGAGAATCTATCGAACCAAGCTCTTGGGGACTGCTTCAGACCGTATAATGATTTCTTTAGTTTGCATAGTTGGTCACCCCTCCCTTCATCAAAACCAGGAAGAAGAGACATATAGACTTCTTCTTTCAATTCCCTATTTAGGAAGGCATTTTTTATGTCCAATTAGTGTAATGGCCATTTCAGATTGGCTGCTATAGACAACAGTACCCTGATAGTGTTCAATTTTGCCACTACTGCAAAAGTTTATTGATAATCTATGCCATAAGTTTGTGTGAATCCTCTTGCCACTAATCAGGCCTTCAACTTATCGAGACTCCCATCAGCCTTATACTTTAGGGTAAATACCCATTTGCAACTCACTAGTTTCTTGTTCCTTGGCTTCTGCACAATATCCCATGTCTCATTTTCTTCTAATGCTTTCATTTCCTCTAACACAACCTCTCTCCATCCTGTTGTTTTAAGAACTTCATAGATGTTTTTAGGAGTACTAACATCATCAACATTAGCAATAAAAGCTCAAAAATTCGGAGATAAAGCTTCGTATGATAGCTATTTCTGATTAGGATGTTGTGTACATGATCAAGGTTTCTTTCTAAGAGCAATTGGCAGTTCCAAGTCGTCTTATGAAATCTTCCCTCTCTCCGGGTTTTCATTAATATTCTCATACTCTTCTTCAAGACTTTCTCCCCCAGAATCTTCCACCAGTTTAGATTCTGGTACTATCTCAAGTATGAGGGCTATTCCACAATGTTTCACCTTTCGTTTGTAAGCTTTGATCTCTTTCCCTTTAGTACTTGTGTTCTTGTCTCCCCCTGAACTTGCATTTTCTTTTTCTTCTTGCATAAGAGAGACAGACAGAGCTCAAGAGAAGTAATGTTAGGGTGGTGGCCATGGTCAAGAGAATCTACAAGAGAATACTCACAATCACGATCAAGGGTTGACTGAAATTCACTCCAGTTCTCCCCCTAAATTGAAGGAGAGGGATAAAAAGATTCGTGTTTAGAAAAAGAAATATCATGACTAACAAACAGACGCTTTGAAGAAGGATCAAAGCACTTATAGCCTTTTTGGGATGAGGAGAAACCAAGAAACACACATTCGATAGCTTAAGGCTCAAGTTTGGAAGATGAGTGAAGGTAAACAAATGCAGAACACCTAAAAATTTTTAAAGGAAGAGTTGTCTCAAGATGAGAAAGAGTGTGTGTCTAACAAAGGCACTCAAGAGGGGTAGAGTGGGATAATATTTTAATGGGCATGCGATTAATGAAATAAGTATAAGTAAGAATGGCATCCCCCCCAAAAGTATTTAGAAACATTTGTGGTGAAAAGAAGGGCACGAGCAACTTCAAGTAAGTGTCTATTCTTTCATTCAGCCACATCATTTTGTTGGGGACTGTTAGCACGGGAAGTTTTATGAACAATGCCCTTAGACTTAAGGAAGTCACCCAAAGATGTGTTAACATATTCGGTGCCATTGTCTGTTTGGAGGATTTGAATGGACGTGTGAAATTGATTTAATATCATCGTGTAGAATTCAATAAAGATAGATGTTACGTCAGACTTATCTTTCAATAAATATACCCCGCATACATCGGTATGATCATCAATGAATGTTACAATCCACTTGGCATGAGTTCGATTAGGAACACCCAAAGGACCCCTCACATCACTATGAACAATAGAGAAAGGTTAAGAGGGTTTATACTCAAAGCATGGAAAAGAAGAACAATGGTGTTTGGCTAATTCACAAATATCACAATGAAAACTATAAATTTCATAAGATGAAGATTTAGGAAACAAGCGAATCAAATATTGGATATTTGGATGACCCATTCTTCTATGCCATAATAAAATATTAACATTTTTAGAAGTAGACTCAAGGTTGCAGCAAAAACAAGACCAGAGTTTACTCACGATTGATTCATTTAGGTAGTAGAGCCCATCACACTCCTCATCATTGTCAATCATCTTCCCCAATGACAGATCCTAGAAAATACAATGAGTGAAAAAAAAAAAGTGAACGCTACAATGAGCTTGTTTGGTCAACTTGCTTATAGACAACAAATTACAAGCTAGATAAGGAACATGAAGAACAGAATCCAACTATAGACATTTGGATATAGTAATACTACCCTTTCCAGCAATAGATGAAGAAGTGCCATCGGCCGCATCAATTTTCTCACGCCACTACATAGGAAATATGATGTAAATAATGTGGAATTCGCAATCATGTGATCCAAGGCCCCAAAGTCAACAATCCATCTAGACTTTGTGGAACAAACATTGAATACATAATGAGAATTACCTTGCTTAGCTACTGAAGCATTACGAGAAGGGGAAGGCAACTATCTAGATTGCAAGCACTGAAGCATGTCCATAAGTTTATCTGATTGGTCTTTATCAATAGCAGGCAATGGACTAGACATTTCTCGTGGATCAAAGGTAACTTGGTAACGTTGGGATTTACCTTTACGAAGTTTCCAATCAAGAGGTTTCCTATGAAGATCCCAACACTTGTCTTTTCAGTGGCCCATCTTTTTACAATGGTCACACCTAATCTTCCCCTTTGCATCCTTATGTCCTTGATCAGAGTGCTTGCTCACTAAAGCAGCAGATTCAGATTGAGGAGGAACAATAGAAGGAGCAGATAACATCACCTTGTGATGAGATGCCTCTCAGCAAAATTCGACAAATGCATCACAAGTAGATGGTAAAGGAGAGCGAGCTAATATACAACTACGGACATCATCCAAGGATTGATAAAGGCCAGCCAAGAACTGAAAAACTCACTCATCTTCAATGCGACGCTTGTACCTTACTGCATCAGTGGCACATGACCATTCCTTTTCAATGTTGAGATCAATTTCTTGCCAAATAGCAACCAACTCCAACCAGAATTCAGTTAACTCTTAATCTCCTTGTTTAATCTGCCAACTTCGTGTCTTAAGGTCAAAGACTCGGGCACCATCCACCATTTGAATATGACTCCTTAACTACTTCCCATATATCTCGCGCTGTTGTGAGAAACATGAAGGAGCGCTGAATTTGTGGTTTCATAGCGTTAATTAGCCATGAAGCCACTATAGATTTTTCAGTCTGCCACTTCTCAACAGCCTTCAAGTCTAACGCGTTTAGAGCCTCAAAGTGGCCAATGATAAAACTCAGCTTGCCTCTTCCTCTGATAGCAATCCAAACTGCCTGGGCCTATTTACAATAGTTACAACCATTAAACTTGTCTAAGATGAGGAGAAAAGAAGACCCTTCAGCAGCACTCAACCCTTGGGGAGTTCTACCATATGGGTGTAGAATCAAGTCAGTCTCTGCACCTGAACCAAAGCCCATAGTTGAAGGCTAAGACAGGGGAGAGTGCAACTCTAGAGAAAAACGCACATATGATTCTGGACAGCAAGAAGCGTCGCCTTTGAGCAGCTCTAAATTGGGTCGTGACCATGAGAAAGAGGTCGCCAGTGGCTCTGGGACGTGCAACTCCCCTTCGTGTGCCTCTGGAATGTGCAACGTCAACCTTGTGTTGCTCTGGGAAGAAGCATTGATTCAACATGACATTAACCAAAGATGAGAAAAACCGAACAAAGGTTGCATGAGTTCTACATGGACGAGTCACTAATCAGAAAATTGTTGATCAAGACCTCTTAGTTAACAATATTCCTAAAAGCTTGGTAAATAATAAAATATAATGACATAATGCAATCCATACAGCCAACCCTACAAAGTGGGATGAGGCTTCGTGTTTTTTTGTCGATATATTTTTTGTTGCTCTAGGTCCCTATTATTTTTCTCGTATGTAATGTTGATCCCTAGTTCTTATAGCAGAGACAAGAGAAGAGGTTAATTGCAAACTTGAGTTATGGAGGAGGACATTGGAGTCGAAAGGTTTTCGTCTGAGTAGAAGTAAGACGGAATATTTATATTGTAAATTTGATAAAGGACTATTCGAAAATAATTTGGAAGTGAAATTGGGAGATCAAATTATACCTCAAGTGGAAAAGTTTAGATATTTGGGAGCCATTATTCAAAATGATGGCGAAATCAGTGGAGATATTTCACATAGAATTCAAGCTGGATGGTTTAATTGGAGAAAAGCTAAAGGAGTTATTTGTGACCGTAAGGTGCCTAATAAACTTAAAGGAAAGTTTTATCGTACTGCTATCAGACCGGCAATGTTATATAGTAGTGAATGCTGGGCTCTAACGGGACAGCAAGAACATAAAGTTGGAGTAGCAGAGATGAGAATGTTACGATGGATGTGCGGACATACACGTAAAGATAAAATTCGAAATGAGCACATACGTGAAAAAGTGAGGGTGGCACCTATTGAGGAAAAAATGGTAGAAAATCGGTTGAGATGGTTTAGGCATGTACAAAGAAGACCAAGGGAGGCACCAGTGAGAAGAGTAGAATATATAACTTTGAGTCCGATTAAGAGAGGTAGAGGAAGGCCTAAGAGAACACTCTTGGAAGTTGTTGAACGTGATCTCCTAATTAATAATATTTCTAAAAGCTTAATAAATGATAGAGCACAATGGCGTCTTGCAATCCATGTAGCCGACCCCACCTAGTGGGATAAAGGCTTGTTGTTGTTGTTGTTGTTGTAATGTTGATCCCTCTATTTTTAAATACCCAAAGGGATAATGTAATACTAATGATGTGAAGTTATTTGGCACGTAACTAATGCTATTGCATTGCTAATCAAATAAAGGTTAGGTTTTAATTTGTTCATTTTTACAAACTTCAAACTCGTATATTCGCCGCTATTTTGGTTTCATTCGCCACATCAAGACACTATTTTATATTATTTCCCTTAATTTGAAGCCATTGATTGCTTCTTCTTCTTCTTTTTTAACGTTGATGTTGAAGTTTGTTGTCTTTGTGTAATTGAGCATAATCTTCAATTTCTTCCTGTTGATTTTTGTTACATTGGACATTGTGATTGCTCTGTCTCTTTCTTATTTTAAAATTTAACACAAGATTTAACATTTTTAGTACCACATTATCAACCCTTTGGGCATCTTTAAAAGAAGAGGGACTAATGTTGATGAAAAAAAATATAAGGACCTAGAGCAACAAAAACAAAGTACAAGGACAAAAAAAAAACACAATAAAACTATAAAGACTAATAATTGTATTTTCACAAATATTAAATTCAAACCATCAAAATCTTATATGAACAGAACAGATCTTGCAAAGGAGAGGGGGAGGAGAGAAGGAAATGAAGAACAGCACAATTTCTATTTTTGAGATGGAAGGTGCATAACTTGGGAGTTACAGAAAAGCTTGTATGGCTAAGACAAGCTCAAATACTCGAATTATCAATTTTTTCATTTTTAAATTAATTTTAATTTAATGTTTAGCTTTAAAATTAATTATTTTTATTTTATAAAAAATATAAAATATATTTTTTGGGATACTTAGATGATGTGAAAGACTCAAACTTTAAAAAAAATGTAATCTTAAAATTTAAAAATCAATATTAAAATACATTTTAAATATTATTTTGAGATTTATAGATTAAAAATAATAAAAATACAAAATATTTTTATTTTTTAAAAAATTATTTATAATATTGTACTCAAACATATGGCATCTTAAAAAAGCAGCGTTTAGTTAAGCCCAGTCCTAAATTTTTTCAGGTTTAAGCCAAATTACTAGTTTTGGACAAAGCCAGGCACTTTTAGACTACCTCAATCTTAGAGACAATGGCTGGTACCAAGTTCATTATTAGCTTATAAGAAATACACTAATCAAATTTTAAGGAAAAAAAATCAGGTACTGCACAGAAGAAATGTACCTCAGTAATTAAGTTATTACAAGGTGACCACAAAATTTCTTGAAGTAGATGTTAAGAAAACCTAAATTAGTAAACGCATTAACTAGCAATTTCAAAAATCTAAAAAGAATACTCAAGCCCCTAAACAGGCACAATAAGAAACCAGATTTAGGTGGGAAGTTTCTTATCAGTTTCAACTAATGAATATGGCCCATTTGTTCTCCTCTTACTGAAGGCTCAAAATTTCATGATAGTCTCCCCTTTCCGCCAAGCATCTCAGACTTCCAATTGCTTGCCTATACTTTTAATGGCCTCAAGGAAAATCAGATATTACCGATTTATTCAATATTTCTTCCACCTAAGGCTAGATTTGACAAGGATGCTAAAGATCAAAGATTTACAAGTTGACCTAGAGTCATGTAGAAAAAAAAAGTAAGAAAACTTAGCCAATGAAAAGAGACCTAAATACAAACAATAACATACTTTCAAGATCTTGAACAAGAGATTTCATCTGTCCACACTCTGTGTCTCGAAGCTTCCTCTCCTCTGAAAGCAAAGCAGCGTCTTAGTAAAATATATATATATATATATTTGATGATGACAAACATTTAATGTAACAACAAATATTTGATGCAGGGTAAGAAAGTAAATAAATGAGCAAAATTAAAGGCCATCAATTATACTAATCAGATGAGCTAAGGAACATCAATTCAACATTAGTGAAAGAGAACATAAGACAGCATAGTCCAATAAAACTTTATATTATACTTTACAGTGGCCACTGGCTACTAATCAAACGTGAATACAATAGAATCAAACCAGTTTACACATGCATGGACAACAGCTATAGGGCACAATTAATGACTGGTTTTGGATAAACTAGACAATTTATCAGTTGAAACTTCTACAACAGGACATTTATCATACTTGAGAATTGTTACAGGGCAAATAGTGGATGGGCAGAGTAGGTTTCTGTTTCAGTTTATAGTCAAGCCAAGTGTTTAAGAGTAAACACCAGACCAGTATTAATCAAATTGTAACAAACTACTCCTAGATACAATAGTAGAGGGAGGCCGTTACCACGCTTGTCAATGAATGTGAAATTATGCAGTGCGAAAGCTTGTATTCATTCAACAAAGTGGAGCGATACATATAGTAGAGCACAGATCAGATCATATTGTATCAAATCTGCTCTAATAAATAGAAAAGATAACAGCAAGATAATCTGATTCTAGAATCCCTGATAATCTGTAAAAATATTTCCCTGATAAGATAAAGATACTAACAATAAATCCTATTAGGATTAGGTTGAACTAGCAAATGGGCATGGGTTAAGTTGGCCCACATCCAACACTCCTCCTCAAGCCAGCGAATAGATGTTGATCATTTCTCACTTGCCTATTAGCTCATCAAAATTGTTTCGCACAAGAGGCTTGGTCATAACATCTACAACTTGCTTTCCTGATGGGATGCAGGAGAGATCTATGACTTCAGCTTCAATTTTCTCTCTAATTAAATGCTTATCAATTTCCAAATGCTTTGCATGATCATGTTGAATAGGGTTGTTTGCAATCTTCGACAGAACCATGTTATCACACCACATTTTAATAGGAGTATGTGGTTCTATGCCGAGCTCTTTTAATAATTGTACAACCCATATGCCTTCACAAATTCCAAGAGCCAAGGCCTTATATTCAGATTCTGCTTAGCTTCTAGATACAATTGGTTGTTTTTTACTTCCCCAAGTCACAAGATTACTCGACACAAAGGTGCAATGCCTTGTCGTAGAGCACCTATCGTGAATGGATCCTCCCCAATTAGCATCAGTCTAAACTTCTAAACCTCTTTCATTTTCAATTCATGGTGTTCTCTTGTTTCCATTTATGTAGATTTCTACACTCTTTCTGTCTCCTTTAAAAACGAATAATCCCTTGCTTGGAATTGTCTTGAGGTATCTAAGAATACAATAGACAACTTCCGTATGCTCCTTCTGTGGATTACTTGCAAATTGACTTACAGCCCTAACAGCAAAGGATATGTTTTGCTGGCCGAGTATGAGAGAAATAAATTAGCTTTCCTACCAATCTCTAGTACCTCTTTTTGTTGATTGATTTCCCATCATGTTTCACTTCCAAGTTGCCATTAAGCTCCATTGAAATATCTGCTAGTCTAGAAGCCAACATACCAGTTTCTTTGAGAAGATCCAGAGTACATTTTCCTTGTGTGACATTAATGCCCTTAGATGGCCGAGCTACTTCCAACCCAAGGAAATACTTGAGATGGCCAAGATCTTTAATCTCAAATTCTATAATGAGTTTCTTCTTCATTTTGCCAATTTCTTTAGTGTCACTACTTGCTAGCACAATATCATCTACATAGACAATTAGCACAACTATTTTTAGGCCAGACCTTTTTGCAAATAAAAAATGGTCTGATTGGCATTGATTATAGCCAAATCCTTTAACTACATGTGTTAATTTTTCAAATCAAGCCTTAAGTGATTGTTTTAGTCCATACAAGGACTTACTAAGCTTCTAGACTTTGTCTGCATTCTCTGGTCTTCTCAAACCCAAGGGTATCTCCATATACACTTCCTCCTCCCAATACCCATTCAAAAAGGTGTTCTTAACATCCAGTTGCGTAGCGGCCAATCTAAAGTTGCTGCAAGAGACAACAAAACATTAATAGTAATAAACTTAGCCATGAGAGCAAATGTCTCTTGATAATCAATGCCATAGGTTTAAGTAAAACCTTTAGCAATTGTCTGTGCTTTATATTTATTTCGACTTCCATCAAAGTTGTACTTCTCAGTAAGAACCCATTTTCTCCCTACAACTGACTCCCCACATCATAAATCAACAATTTCCCAAGTCTTATTTTCGTCCCAGGCCCTCAATTCTTCCTCAATTGCCAATTTCCATTTCAGGTCAAATCTTGCTTCTTCAAATGTTCTAGGTATTTCTTCATTATCAATAGTAATAACAAAGGTCTTAAGCTGGGAATTAAGCCTTTCATAAGAGACATACCTTCTAATGGGGTGTCGAGGTCAACTTCTCTTGCCTTTTTTAAGAGCAATAGACCACTACAGATCTTCAGGATTAACCTTAGGTTCTGAATCATGACTTTGCCTTAAAACACCAATGGAACCTTCGCTATTTGTGGGCTGTTCAAGCTGACTCTCCCCTGTTTCATCCATACGAGAGTCAAACACAGATTCCTAAGAGTTAGGAGAAGGTTGTTCATGACTGGTATGATGATCAGATTAGGTTTCAGCTTCAGAAATAGGTATTTCAGGGTCAGAGGTGAAAGGTCCAGTATCAACTTGGACAAGGTCAAATGATGTGCAAGGTCTGATATTAGTGATGCCAGTGGATTGATTACTTAAGTAATCATCTATAGTGGCACAAATTAACCATTCACTATCATTCTCCCCTTGAATGAGTAATTTGGGATAGAATGGTAGTGTTTCAACAAATTTAACGTTCACGCATAAAGCTTCCTTTTTTCAGGAGAATAACATTTGTACCCCTTTTTAGTTGAGGAGTAACCCAAGAAAAGACATTAATAGAACAAGAATCAAGTTTCCCACCCTCATCATTAAACATGAAGGCTGTGCACCCAAGGACTCTTTTCAAAAAAGAATTAATAAGATGCGAGTGGGATAAGACTCTAAAAAACTTTGAATAGGAGTTTTGAACTTTAAGACTATGGATGGCATACAATGGATAAGGTAAGCAGCCGTAAGAATTGCATCTCCCCAAAACTCATTCAGTACATTGCCAACTAATAAAAGAGCTTTGGCTACTTCTAGCTAGGAGATGTCTATTTTTCCTCTCGGCCACCCATTTTGTTCGGGTGTATGCACACCAGATGTTTGATGGAGTATCCCTTTCTCAACAAGAAAGGTTCCAAAATCGACATTAAGATAGAAGTCTGAAATTTTTTTTGAACAAAATTACATTTTCAAAAAGAGTAACAACCTCAGACTTTTCTTTCATCAAATACAGCCACGTGAGACAAGTGTGATTACCAATAAAAGTAACAAAGCATCTGGCTTTCAAGTGAGTTTCAATTTTAGATGGCCCCGACACATCATTATGCATAAGAGTGAAGGGTTTAGTAGGAGTATAAGCAGAAGCAAGATAGGGTTTGCAAGTTTGTTTGGCAAACTAACAAATATCACAATGAAAATTGATTTCAGTCATGGAATCTTGAAGCAAAACTTTCATGTAATCAAAACTAGGGTGGCCTAATCAAAAATGCCATAATAAAATGTCTTCTAGAGACATAGTAGTTGAAGCAATAACAGAATTGAAAATGGGACTAGAATCAGCCAAATAGCCTTTATGTTTGAGATTTCCTTCAACATAGTAAAGTCCATTGTGTTCCTTAGCATTGCCAATTATCTTCACCAAGGTTAAGTCCTGACCAGTGAAATTTGTCAAAGATAGCAAGGCAATTTAACCGATAGGCAATACATTTAACGGACAAAAACTACACTGAATGTATAACACATTCCTCAACACAATAAACTCTGAAAGAATAATTGCTCTGGACCCCATAACTTGTGCCTAAGTATTGTTAGCCACTTGCACACAGGTGTGCTCAAAATGGGGACTGAACTTAGAGAGTAAGTCTTAGAATCTAGTAATGTGATTTGTAGCAAAAGAATCAACTACCCAAATGCTCTTACATTCTGTGACAATACTTAAGGTTGCAAGTAGAGTCACCTGCATGAGCTAATGAAACTAAAGGAGTACATCTCTCACTTGGTTTTTCTTGAGCATACCTCTCCAGGATTTGCTTGAGCACAAATTCTTCATTGTTTAGAGAATCTCCTTCACCAGCAGTTTGACTGATTGTGAAACCGTTGTTGTCACCCTTATTCTTCTACTTTAGGTAAGTTGGTTAGCCATGGATTTGCCAACAAGTTTCCTGAGTTTGACCATTCTTGTTGCGATAGTCACATTGGAGAGACTTCTTCCCTTTTGGATCTCCCCCTTGGTTGCCTCCAGCCACCATAGCAAAGGCTTCAACAATTGGTGAGGAAGGAGTAGAAGAAGGAAGCCGAACTGGAGCCTTACAACTTTCCTCATACTTGATCATGTTAAATGTTTTGTCAAGAGAAGGAAAAGGTTTCATACCCATAATTCAACCTCTGAGGTCTTCAAAAGAGTCATTAAGGCTGAGGAGAAATTCATAGCACCTTTCACATTCAACAACTTTCTTATAATACACCTCATCCACACAACATGACCACTGATGAACCACATATTGGTCTATATTCTCCCCTTGTGTTAGTTCATAGAACCCATTTTGCTTGAAAGATAGCAGCTGTGTTTTCCTTAACAGAATAGGTATGCCATGTTAATTGCCAAATTTCCTGAACCATGTTTGTAATAGGTAGTTTTAACTAATCTCAGTGTCCATAAAGTGAATTAACCAGGTCATGACCATGTTTTTTTCTACACACCAAGCTTCACATTTGGGATCACTAACATCTAGTGCCTTCAGATGTCTAGTCAGGTATCATTCCTTGTCGTGCCCTTGCATCAACACGTTTCTGGACCATTTTAAGTAATTGTTTCTATTAAAATGATGGGTGATGATAAGTTGAGAGAGAGCCCGTATGCATATTCCCAAGAGAACCTGCACCACTCCCTCCAAAATTCACCTCCTCGTTTAAGCCTTATCTATGCACTAAAGAGTATGTGTATATTTCTCTATTGGCGGCGAAGGCTCTTGGGCTAGTTAGCACTGCCTTATATGACATGAGTGTCACCACTTTGATACCATGAAATTATGTAATATGAAAGCTTGTATCCATTCAACAAAGAGGAGTGATACATATGGTAGAGCACAAATCAAATCATATCAAATCTACTCTAATAACTAGAAAAGATAACAGCAAGATAATCTAATTCTATAATCCCTACAAATCTGTAAAAATATTTGCTTACTAAGATAAAGATGCTAACAGAAAATCCTATTAGGTTTAGGTTAAACGAGCAGATGAGTGTGGGTTAAGTTAGCCCACATCAAACAGAATTGAATCCCTTTCTCTTTATCAATTCTCTCCCCGCTATTCTATTCTCAAATGCAATGTGCACTATTGCACCATTCCAGTGTCAGAACATCAATCCATGCATTTTGATGGTGCCTGAAATGCAATGGGGTTTGTTAGAAGAGAGAGTAAGGAATCTAGGAATAATGAATACATCATCGTGTGGGCATGAGAGAACAACAACAACAACAACAACAAGCCTTTATCCCACTAGGTGGGGTCGGCTACATGGATTGCAAGACGCCATTGTGCTCTATCATTTATCAAGCTTTTAGAAATATTATTAATTAAGAGATCACGTTCAACAACTTCCAAGAGTGTTCTCTTAGGCCTTCCTCTACCTCTCTTAATCGGACTCAAAGTTATATGTTCCACTCTTCTCACTGGTGCCTCCCTTAGTCTTCTTTGTACATGCCCAAACCATCTCAACCGATTTTCTACCATTTTTTCCTCAATAGGTGCCACCCTCACTTTTTCGCGTATGTGCTCATTTCGAATTTTATCTTTACGTGTATGTCCGCACATCCATCGTAACATTCTCATCTCTGCTACTCCAACTTTATGCTCTTGCTGTCCCGTTAGAGCCCAGCATTCACTACTATATAACATTGCCGGTCTGATAGCAGTACGATAAAACTTTCCTTTAAGTTTATTAGGCACCTTACGGTCACAAATAACTCCTTTAGCTTTTCTCCAATTAAACCACCCAGCTTGAATTCTATGTGAAATATCTCTACTGATTTCGCCATCATTTTGAATAATGGCTCTCAAATATCTAAACTTTTCCACTTGAGGTATAATTTGATCTCCCAATTTCACTTCCAAATTATTTTCGAATAGTCCTTTACCAAATTTACAATATAAATATTCCGTCTTACTTCTACTCAGACGAAAACCTTTCGACTCCAATGTCCTCCTCCATAACTCAAGTTTGCAATTAACCTCTTCTCTTGTCTATGCTATAAGAACTATATCATCCACGAAGAGCATACATTTCGGGATTTCCTCTTGAATATGTTCCATCAAAACATTTAAAATCAAGTTGAACAAATAAGGACTCAGAGATGATCCCTGATGTAGTCCAATCTTTATAGGAAAATCCTTTGTTTGACCACTAGGCGTTTTTATACTAGTTTTTACCCTCTCATACATATCTTGTATGGCTTTAACATAAGCAATCCGTACTCCCTTTTTTTCCAACGCTTTCCAAAGCACTTCTCTTGGTATACGGTCATAAGCTTTTTCCAAATCGATTTTATGTGTAGATCTTTATCTTTACAACGATACTTTTCCATTAATCCCCTTAGTAGATAAATCGCCTCTGTAGTTGATCTACCTGGCATAAAACCAAATTGATTCTCAGAAATACTTGTCTCCAATCTCAACCTGTGCTCAATTACTTTCTCCCACAATTTCATTGTGTGGCTCATGAGTTTAATCCCTCTATAGTTAGTACAATTCTGAATATCTCCTTTATTTTTATAAATAGGAATTAATGTACTTCTCCTCCACTCATCAGGCATTTTCTTGGACCGTAAAATCACATTAAATAACTTAGTTAACCATCTCACCCCTTCTTCACCTAAACATTTCCATGCTTCGATAGATATACAATCAGGTCCGTTGGCTCTACCATTTGCCATTTTCTTAAGAGCTTCCTTTACTTCCTTATCACGTATTTTTCGATAGAATGACAAATTTTGTTCTCCTTCACCAGTTACTAAATCCTCCAAGTTACTAGATGAATCCTCTCCATCATTGAAAAGTTTAGAAAAATAAGTCTCCCATCTATTTTTAATTTTATCATCTGTAACTAAAATTCTTCCCTCTTCATCCTTAATACACCTTACCTGTTCTAGATCTCTTGATTTTCTTTCCCTACTCTTAGCAATCTTATAAATATTTTGCTCTCCTTCCTTCGTCTCAAGGTTCTTATAAAATTCTTCAAAAGCTTTAGAACGAGCTTCACCCACAGCTCTCTTAGTTTCCTTCTTAGCCATACGGCACCTCTCCCAATTTTCCTCATTGTTACACAAATGTATGGCTTTAAAACAGTTCTTCTTATACTTGATTTTGTCCTGTACACTATTATTCCACCACCAAGACTCCTTATCTCTCGGACCAGAACCTTTCGATTCTCCCAAAACTACTTTTGCAACCTCCCGTATCTTTTTAGCCATATCCTCCCATATGATGTTAACACTTCCCTGAGAATCCCAAATTCCTTTATCCAAAAGATTTCGCTTAAAAATATCTTGCTTCTCACCTTTTAATTGCCACCACCTAATCCTTGGTGTTACTACTTGTCGACGTTTTTGGATTTTACTCATAATACACACATCAAGGACTAAGACCCTATGTTGTGTCGTTACAACATCTCCGGGGATCACCTTACAATTTTTACAAAGTTTTCTATCTGTGTTCCTAATCAAAAGAAAATCAATCTGCGACCTTGAGGCTCCACTTTTGTAAGTGATGAGATGCTCATCTCTCTTCTTGAAACAAGTGTTGGCAATCTTAAAACCATACGCCAATGAGAAATCAAGAAGAGTTTGTCCTTCATTGTTTAGCTCTCCAAAACCAAAACCACCATGCACCCTCGCATACTGACCAGCTTCCCTCCCGACATGCCCATTAAAGTCTCCTCCAATAAAAATCTTTTCACTCTGTGGTATGTGTCGAATCAACCCCTCCAGATCCTCCCAAAATAATTCCTTAAGACTGGCTTCTGTCCCGACTTGCGGCGCATAAGCGCTAACAATATTAACAGTCTCACGTCCAATTATCATTTTTAAAGAAATAATTCTGTCTCCAATTCTACTAACTTCTACAACGTTCTTCTTCCACTCCTTATCTATAATGATGCCTACTCCATTGCGTACACTTACTTTTCCTGTATACCAAAGTTTGAAACCTTGAATATCCTTAGCTTCTTCTCCACGCCATTTTGTTTCTTGCAAGCAAAGGATATTGATTTTCCTTTGAATCATAACCCCTACAACCTCTACAGATTTACAATTTAATGTCCCAACATTCTAAGTACCAAATCTAATTTTGCTCTTATGGACTAACTTCTTTAGCCGCGTACGTCCAGAATGACGCGGTAGCCCTTGCTCATTTAACACTACATCCGGGCGCCGATGCAGCGGCTCTAACTCACTTATCACTGTACTCGAGCCATGCAGCGCGTTACTTACGGGCAACGACCTAGCATTAACATTATAACATCTATTGTCCATGTTCATGATAGATTGTGGGCATGAGAGAGATAATAAATTTTGAGGAGTGAATTGTAGGAGAGACTAGCCTCTCAAACACTAATATTGCTTCATTTTCTCTGACACCTTCCATCCAATTTGCCCAATACACTAGAGGAAAACCATCAGGGCACACTTCATATTCTGGTTTTGCTATCTGTAGTGGGGAGGTTATATTATGGTCAAAGTTAGCTTCTGCTTCTATTAATGAGTCAATGAAGTCCACTACTAGTCAATAATTTTAGTAGTTAAAAGATACCTACTTGAGTAGGGATGGTAAAATTATAAACAACTCCTACCTATAATAGTAGAGTAGGTTTGTTTTTCATTTTTGTTGATGAAATAATTCCTCTTTCTCTCTCTCTCTAATGCTATTCTATCCTTAGTTCTTTGGTTAATATGCACCATGAATAATGAATTTCAAAGCTCAAAGAGCATATCTTAGGTTATAATATTTTTAAATGATTATGGGCTAAAATAATCTTTAATGGGGAAACAAAGTTAAAAAGATGAATAGAAAAAATGAAACTGCATCTTAGAAAGATGAAAAGGCATTAAAAGAAAAAAAGGGACATTAGATTTGTTGATCCTACCAAAGTGGGAAAGGTTATGCAATAAATGTTTCCAAAAATAACCAAGAACAATGGTGAACCTATCCCACAAAAACGCATTACCTTTTGACACAGACGCGCAAAGTCTAGACAACAGCTATAGAATATATGGACCAAGTACATACCTTTGAATCGTTTCTTCACTACATTTAAAAATTATATGCAAAATTGAATTCTTCAACAAAATATCTAACCTTCTAAGGCCACAATCCGTCCTTGTTGCAAGCTAATTTGATCAATCAGCGATCTCATTTGACTTGTACAGTGGTTTTCAGCTTCAATCTGCCATACAACAATAAATTTGGAATAGCATCTAGTATAGCTTTTGAATAACTCCCAAGGCAAGTATAAGTTAACCAACACTCTTAGCTTATTGAGCCACAAAATAGATTGCACTAGGCCATGAATCTCATGAACACTACCAAATCAAGGAAGATGAAAAAACCATGACTCATGACAAAATTATTGTTCAACAAAACTCAAATAATATTTAATGTATATAACAAAACCACAAGTTCTGATTCTTCAAGAGTAGCTTGAAGCATTGTTGACTTTGCATGAAGTACTTAGTAATAAAAAGTTTTATCAAGAATAGATTTAGGAGATGTCAGTTGCGTCTGTTTCATAAAGCCTCTTCAATCTTGACGAAAAGCCTTCTAATAAAAAGAAACCTCGTATTCTGCTTTGCCAGAGTTTTTTTTTTTTTTTTTGGGGGGGGGACTAGTTCCCCATTGTATAATTCTATTTCTACTATGGTCAAAAAAGCTACTATGGTCAAAAAAGGGGGAAAAAAAGATTAAACAGAAACTCAAGGAAATAAAGGAAGGTGATTTAATGATAATACAATATTTAAATGCTATTGTAAAATCATGGTGGCAATTAGATTTGCTTGAAAGTCATATCGACATGTAATAAATAAGCACTACAAGATACTTGTGGGAAAGAAATGACTTATAACTTTCTCTATGTGGCGATAATCAAAGCAATAATAAGAGGAAGAATCTCCATTTAACTATTACTTGATATTCCTATTTCTTAGGGATTTTAATTGCTGTTTTAATTATGTTTTGTTCTTCTTCGTTTTCTCCAAGAATCTCAAAACTAAGTAGATAGCATGCAGCTATCTTCAAATCAAATTGTATTCACTTATTAAGCAATCATAAGGAAAACCCTAACAAAGGTTTCTTTATGGAATCAGGGCCACACCAATTAACCCCAAAAACTGGGTTTTGTTTGGATCAATGGATAGGGCGTGAAACATCATCACGAGAAGCACCTCTACCAATGTCAACAACACCACAACCACTACTAACAATTTTCTATCATTTTCCCTTCAATAGGTGCTATGCCAACTTTTCACGTATGAGCTTATTTTGAATTTTATCTTTACATGTATGTCAACATATTTATCTCAAGCTAATCCAACTTTATACTCTTATTTTCCCGTTGAAGCCTAACATTCACTACCATATAATATAGCCAGTCTTATAGCAATTCAGTAAAACTTCTCTTTAAATTTATTAGGTACTTTAGGATTGCATATAACTCTTTTTGCCTTTCTCCAATTACACTAGCCAACTTGTATCCTATGTACAATATCTCCTTCAATTTCCCTATCATATTGAATAATCACTCCCAAATATCTAAACTTTTTCACTTGAGGTATAATCTAATCTCTCAATTTTACATCCAAAATGCTATTAATTGACCACTTATTAAAATTGCAATGCAAATATTTCATTTTATTCCTATTCAAACAAAAATCTTTTGACTTCAATATCCTCCTCCATAACTCAAGTTTGTAGTTAATCTCTTTCCTTATCTCCACAATAAGAACTATATCATCCACAAAAAATATACATTTGAAAATTTTCTCTTAAACATGATCAATGAAAATATCTAGGACCAAGTCAAACAAATAAAAACTCAAAGATGATTCTTGATGTAATACAATTCTCATAGAAAAGTCCTTTGTTTCACCATCAAATGTTTTAATACTAATCGTTGGTCCCTCATACATATCTTGCATAGCTCTAGTATAGGCAACTCGGAGTCCCTTTTTTTCTAAGACTTTCCAAAGCACTTCTCTCGATATATAGTCATAAGCTTGTTCTAACTTAACGAAAACCATATGTAAATCTTTACCTTTACATTGATACTTTTCCATTAATCTCTTTAGCAGATAAATCACTTTTATAGTCGTCCTACCTGTCATTGAGCCAAATTAATTTTCAGAAATACCAATATCTAATTTCAACCTATGCTCAATCACTCTTTCTCATAATTTCATTGTATGACAAATAAGTTTAATCCTTCTGTAATTAGCATAATTTTGAATATCTCATTTACTTTTGTAAATAGGAACTAAGATGCTTCTCCTTCAATCTTTAAGCATTTTTTTAAACCATAAAATTTCATTAAATAACTTAATTAGCCACTACACCCCTTTTTTGCCAAAGCATTTTCAGACTTTAATAGGGATACAATCAAGTCCATTAGCTCTACCATTTGCCCTTTTTTTAAAAACTTTCTTTACCTCACTATTACGTATCCAACAACCTTCTTTGTATATGCTTGAACCAATTAAACGATTATTCACCATTTTCTCCTCATTAGATGTCACATTAACACTTCCTTTTATATTATTATTACAGATCTTATCATTTTTTTATAACCACACATTTATCTCAACATCCTTATTTGTTACCCCGACTTTATATTCTTGTTGTCCCCTTAAAACTCAATATTCATTATTATATAGCATTGTTGGTCTTATAATAAGCTGTGACTTATAGGGGAATGAATTCTTTCTTCATTTTAAGGCTTCTAATAGGGCTTATAATGCCTTTTCTAGACCAAAATGGTTTCAATAGCGAGAGGAACATCAAACAAAACTTCCATTTAAGCTTATTAAGTACTTTTTGATCATAATTAACTCCTATATATAGATCACTTCTATGGTACCCCTTATTGGCATAAATACAAATTGGTTCTCATAAATACAAGTCTCCAATTTTAACTTATATTCAATCACTATTTCCTATAATTTCATCATACGATTCATAGTTGGGTTGGAATCTCTAGTAAGGCAAGTCAAAACTCTCCTCCATTTTAAATAGGAACTAAAGTGCTTCTCCTCCATTCATCAAGCATTTTCTTAGACTATAAAATCCCATTGAATAACTTAGTTAGCCTCAACACACTCCCTTCACCTGCACACTTCTATACTTGAATAGGAATGCCATTAGATCTAATAACTTTACCATGTTCCATTTTCTTATGAGCTTTTTTAACCTCGCCAACATGGTCCCTACAATAAAACACCAAATTTTATACACCTTCTAAAGCTATCAAATCCTCCAAGTCACTAGTCAATCCCCTTACATCAATGAAAAGCTTGTAAAGTAGGTCTCTCACCTATTTTTAATATCTCCATTTGTAACCAAATTTTTTCCTTCTTCATTCTTTATGCATTTTACTTGGTCCAAATATCTTGATTTCATTTCCCTATTTTTTGCAATCTTGTAAATCTTTTGTCCCCATTCTTTATCCCTAACTCTTTGTAAAACTTCTCAAATTCTTTAGAACATGCTTCACTCACAGACTTTTTAGTCTCTGTTTTATCCATACGATGTATTCCCAATTTTCAACATTATTACACAAATGTAAAGCTTTAAAACAATCCTTTTTATGTTTAACTTTCTCCTTTACATTCTTATTCCACCATCGAAAAATCATTATTCCTCATCCTTGCAAAATTGCTTAGTGTCCTTCCTTAACCTTTTAGCCATTTCCTGTCACATGATGTTAACACTTCCTTGTGACTCCCAAGCACCTAAAAGATTCCCCTTGAAATCTCTTGCTCCTCTTTAGCTGCAAACACTTAACCCTTGGTTATAAAACTTGTTAGCACTTTTGTTTTTTACTCTTAATACACATATCAAGGACCAGGACCTTATGTTTTATTGTCACACTTTCCCCAAGAATCACTTAGCAATTTTTGCAAAGTCTTCTCTTAGGATTCCTTACTAAAAAGATGTCAATCTGCAATCCTAAGGCTCCACACTTATGTGTGATTATATGTTCATTCCATTTCTTAAAGTATGAGTTGACAATATTGAGAGTATAAGCCAAGGAGAAATGAAGAATAGATTATCCTTCATCATTAAGTTCCCCAAAATCAAAACTACCATGATCCTTCACATTTGTCCTACCTCCTAGCCAACATGGCCATTAAGGTCCCCACCAATGAAGATATTTTCATCTTGTGGCATGCCTTAAACTAACCCCTCTAAGTCTTACCAAAATTTTTCCTTAAGATGTGCTTTTGCCCAAATATGAGGTGCATAATCACTAATAATGTTGATAGCATCATGTCCAACAATCATTCTTCGGGATAAGATTATGTCCCCAATCCTTTTAACTTTCACCACATTCTTCTCCCACTTTTCAACAACACCAACAACCCCATTCCTTGTATTTCATTTCCTTGTGCACCAAGGTTTGAAATCTGCAACTTCCATAGCTTTCTCTCCAACCCATTTAGTTTCTAGAAGGCACAAGATGTTAATATTTCTCCATTTCATAACTTCCACCATCTCCATTAATTTATAAGACAAGTTCCCACTGTTCCAAGTACTGAATTTCATCTTTCTTACATGGACTAACTTCATTACCCACATCCATCCATAATAATATGGGAACGCTTGCTCATTTTGCACTACATCCAAATGTTGATGCAATAACTCTAGCTCATTTGACACCGTAGTTGATCCATACAGCACATTGCTGATTTGCTTCACGGCAACAACCCAGCATGAGTACAAAAACATCTATTGTCCATATCCATGCAATAATCAACAAACTTTAACATTGACAAATACAGTACACACAAGACGTACTAGAAGAAAAATGATAGGGTGTAAACCTGTTGATACTCCACTTGAAGTAAGCTAAAAGGAGAATCTTGAATCACTAGGTATGTGTCTGGAAAACAATCAATGGTTGCCTATACCTTGAGGGTGTACTTTAGTATCAATTTACAAGCATGCCTGCTCATTTCAATTCATGTGTTATGCTCTCAATTTCAATCTCTTGAGCTGTACTTTCAATCACTAAATGAGCTTCTCTTGGTACTTCCCATGTTTCATAAGCCATCTTGTAGAATATGTATTGCTAATTGAATTAATAAATGAAGATATAATTTGATTGTTCTTGGCTTTGCAAACTCTGAATTTTGGGTCATTCCCCTTGAACTGGAAAACACCACCACTTACATAGGCATGCTTTCCTTTATCCTAGAAAAGAACATCAAAATAGACAGACTCTATTAAAGGTAGTTGTGCTAGTTTAGTTCATGACCAACAACATCATTATTGTTGACAACCCAATGGATTGCCTATGACATTATCTTAGTGGGTGATACATTTTCTTTATTTAATTCTGAATGGTAACCATATTTTGGCATAGGAATGGATCAGATGAGTGGGGATACCATGAAAAAAGTTTAGGAAACGTGCACTGAAAATTGCTATGCCTCATTTTGGATGAAGCTTGACCTAAATACTAGCCAGCAAACCCTGCTGCTAAGAGAATACTGCACAAAAGACTCGTTCAGATAAAGGGTCAACCTATCACTCAAGCCCTGGTCAACTGGAAAGAACTTCCTGATGAAGATATTAGTCAGGTCCATTTGAATGACCTTCAAGGGTGCACCCAGGGTTACATCTAGGTAAAAATCCCTTGAGGACAATCAAGGAGGGGATTTCTGTGAGGATATCATATAGAGAAATTAGTTAAGTACTTAGGAAGCTATTAATCAAATGGTAATTCGTTGATAATGTTACTCATCATCATCCTATAAATAGAAGTACAAAGGAATGACAGTTGAAAGATCTTCCTGGTGAAGATATTAGTCGGGTCCATTTGAATGACCTTCAAAGGTGCACCCAGGGTTACATTTACGTACAAGAGGACAATCAAGGAGGGGGTTTGTGTGAGGAAATCATATAGAGAAATTAGTTAAGTACTTAGGAAGCTATTAACCCAATGGTAATTAGTTGATACTATTCCTAACCACCATCCTATAAATTGAAGTGTAAATGAATGACAGTTGAAAAAGAATTCTGTTGAGAAGATGTGCAGTGGACTTACAGCAGCAGCGAGGCGATCCGCATATTCGGATTGCGTGGCGAAAAGCCTCATCTAAAGAAGAGAAGCAATATCAATATCTTACAAAGGGATGCATCCCCCCAGGAGAATGATATACAGAGTGTTAGGGTTAGGGAGCCCCGCACCTGGATGTAGATGAATACCCCAGCTGCCACCAACAAAAGGAACCGAAAATCGCATAAAACTTTCGCCATTAACTTTTGGCCAAAAACTTCAACTGGGATCAATCATAAGATTAATATTTTAAGTCATTCATATGCCAACGGAAGCTGCCAGACGACGCTGACCCAGTTGAGTCGTTGAGTCAATTCAACTGCAGGCTCATTAGTCCAGTCCTCTCGGTCGCGCACTTCCTCCCCTGCCGATCTTCCTTCCGCACCATTGTGAATTTAAACGTCAGTATTACATAAAAACGTTCCTTCGATCTTGGACTTCGGGCAAATTATTACCGGCAGCCGATGAGCGGAGGGGAAAACGCGACGCGATCCGCCCTCTAGTTTATCAGATTTTTTTAAGGTAAAAATCAGGTGTTTTTAATTTTAATTTCTTAATTACACAAGAATAAAATATAATAATAAATAATAAATATGAAAATATTCCAGAGATTTAAAAATATAAGAAAGTTTTTAAAAATTTATATTTTAAAAAATATAAAATATTTCTTGAAGTTTGAGGTATAAATAACGTACTCTTAGTAAAAATGTCTTTAATAAATAAATTATTTTTTATTTATTTTAAAATGAAATATTATATTAAATAAAGAAAATATAAAAAATAATATTAATTAAAAAATAAAATGTTTTATATTTTAAAAAAAGGAACAAGTATCTATTAATTAAGGAAAAAAAGTAAGCATATATCAATCACTCATCAATATATGATATGAGAAATCATCAACTAATTTTTGACCTTAAATTATATGAATATATAATTGAAAGACACTTTTTAATATCTACATCTACCTAGGTTCTAATTTGGTTCTTAAGCAAATTTTTATACGAGCAGAGTCCAGTTTAAAAAATATTTATTTGTATAAATTTGACATGCTTTAAACCTATGTTAGAACAAAGCTTCTTTTACGGCAAAGTTATGCAAGTTCACAAACTCACTTGACAATCAATGTCATATATGAAATTTAGTTTTTTATTTGTATGGTGATGAAGTATTGCTCTTATCGTGACGAAATCTCTCGTGTCGAAATTCTATGCTTTTTATTTCAAAAAAATAACAACACATTATTAATATAAATGACTTTTTTTATATTTGTATAAGAGAATTGGAGGATACATGTCACTATGTTATTAAATGAAAAAAGTTATAGCTTAAAATCATTATCAACGAGAAAATGTAAAAAGACAGTCAAAATTTCATCAAACAGTTTGATATATGAATAAGAAAGTCTCCAGAGCGATAAAACTTATACCTTGTTAATGTAAGTTTCGTTTGTGTGATGCCACATTATCAAACCAACTACCCTAACATTACATGCTTCTTTATTATAATATTATCCTTCGCCAATGCAATTTAAAATCTAGTTTAGATAACAATGTGCCTTTTATTATTACTAAGGATGCAACTTAATTACTAGTAGGTTTTAAAAAAATATGAAATTTTAATTGAATCCAGAATGAAATAATTTCAATAGAGAAAAGATTAAAATATTTTTTACTTATCATGCAGAATCATTAATTATTAATTTTTTTACTTTGCTTATTAATTTGCTAATATAAGTTATAATTATATTCATTTATTAGACAAGCCACAACATCAATTGTTAATTTACTCATGTTACCTGTCAGTAATATTAAATGTAAATTATAATACTTATTAGTAATTTACAATTTATGTTAATAAATTAACATGTAAAGTTAGTAATTTAATATATGATATTATTATTTGTGATTAAACAATTGATGTCAAGTTTTGTATAATTATTGACATGTCAATTCATATAATTTACAACTTATATTAATAAATTAACAAGTGAAATAAAAAAAATTAAAAACTAATGATTTTACATAACAAGTGAAGAATATTTTAATTTTTTCACCATTAAAATTATTTTCACTTTAATTAGTTTAAACTGAATTGAAATTTTAAATTTTTTTGACCCATTAATAATTAAGTCGCATTCATTGTTCTTGATTTAAATTCTCCCTAATAAATATGTTTACATAACTAGTGAAAAATTAAAATGTAAATAAAAAAGTACAGACTATATGTATTAATTTTTTTTTTGTAATTTCAATGATTTTTAGATAACATTTATATAAAGGAAATTTTCATTCAACATTTCAAATTTAACTGATCAACTAAGGATCTGTTTAGTTAGAGGGGAGGGGCTCAATTTCTCTCATTTGGTTCAAAAATTTTAGATGGGAGGGGCTCAATTTCTCTCATTTAGTTCAACTTTTATTTGCTTTATATTATTTGTTTAGTTTGACATTGAAATTTGATTAGTTTTTTATATTAGGATTGGTATTATGTGATTATGTTGTTATGTGATAGGATAGCACCAAATAATAATAAAGAGATTGTGAACAGGACAAGATCAATGGGTGATGCCCTCGTTGATGCTTTCATGAATAAATATAATGAGGGTTACAAAGTTAATGGTACTTTTACCACTACAGTTTATGATAACATATATAAATATTTGAGTGCTTTATTCGGTGAATAAATTGATCAAGAAAAAGTGAAAAATCGATGGAAGACTTTAAAGAGAAACTTTTCAGATGTTTTTGACATTTTCAAAAGTTTGAGTGGGTTTGCTTGAAATCCAATAACTCAAGTATGGGATGCTGAGCCTGAAGTTTGGGATGCATTAATTGAGGTAAATTTCTTACATATGCATTGATTATATTATTCTTTTATAATTTCCTATTTATTCATAGCTATACCTGTTTGATGGTTTTTGAAAATGGAAAAGTGTGCATTTTCAATTGAATTGCTTTTGTAATTTCACTTGTTTCAGGCTAAACCTAAGGTAGCATTGTGGAGAACTACTCTTTTTCCAAACTATGAAAAAGTGATGATATTATATGGAATAGATAGAGCTAATGGAGATGAGGGTGAGACAGCACGTGAGTGGAGAAAGAGATGTCATTCTCAGGAAGAAGTCACTAAAACTGTCAATGACATTAACAATATTGTCTTACAAAATAGAGCCACAATTAATGTTGAGTTTGATGGACAAGAAAATTCACCTGACCAAGAGTACTCACCCACTATTAATAATACATGTAGCAAGAAGACAAAGAGGGTGTCTAAGGAGAAGGAGACTAGTCTAAATGAGTTTGACGGAAGCAGTGTTAGCCGTGGTTAAGGCAATTCAATAAGGAAATGTGATGATAGGATAAAGTTTCAAGAAGGTGCCACAATTATCAAGAGAAAAAATTTGAAAAATGCTTGAAGAGTGTGGGATTGATGCTATAAAATTACTTGACATATATTGGTTTCTTATGGCTGATAATGATAGACTTAAAGCAACAACTCAATGTCTAGCACCGGTATGAAAGGAAGTGATAATGAGGATGTTTTATAGTTCTAATTAAATGATGACTTTTATTGATAATTTTTATATATTTTGTTAGCTAGATGCTCAAAATGTGGTTCTTAATCATGATCAATATGTTAAATGCTCTTGTCCAATATATTTTGTTATTAATAAGGACAATTATTGCTCAATTGTTATTAAGGACTAGCATTGTCTTGTGAAATTATAAGGGGTATAAAATCATTAGTTTCATTGATTTTTTTCACAAAGTATTGTTTAATATCTAAATTAATTTACTAATAAGATTATTTAATACTATTATTTAATTTACTTATTTGGGGTGAAGAAGTAAAAAAAATGATAAGATTAGGGTAATTTTTTAAAAAAATTATACAATTTGAGTTTATATGTAAAATAGATTTGTGTGATAAAATGTTAAAAAAATAAAAATATTATTGTACAAGGGTATAATGGTAATTTAATTATTACCTCCCCTCCCCTCCCCTCCCCTCTCCAACTAAATAAACTATCATTAAAAACCCCTCCCCTCTCCTCTGATCAAATCAAATAAGGTATTTTAAAAACCCTTTCTTCAAATCAAACATAGCCTAATAATTAAATGAAGCAAAATAAAATATTAAAAATAAAAGAGATGGTTGCACTTTGTAACTATTAGTTCATATAAATTTTAAAAATAGAAATTCACCAAAAAAAATTTTAAAAATAGAAGAGATACACACAGATATATAATGAAAGTAAAATAAAAGGGATGTTGTAGTATTTTGCCAAAAAAAAATTATCCTTTTTTACTGGTTAGTTAAGATTACATTATTTTGGAAAAATAATACATAATATATAATTTTTCGGTCAACAAATGTAATATATAATTTTTTCTATTTAAAAATCATGTATTTTTTAAATTAAAAAACTTAAATAATTAATTATGGGGAAATAAATTTAAAGTAAAATCAGTTAAAGTGAATAAAAAAAACATAACTTTAAGTTCTTATACTTTACTCGCGTTTTGCCATAACTCTTTGTGCTTTTTTTAATATTCTAGGTTCTTATACTTTTATTTTTTGATATTTTAAGTTCCTAAATGAACAAAATGTAGGGATTTTAGGAGGATCTAAAATATCAAAAAACAAAAATTTAAAGACTTGGAACATCAAAAAAGGTGTAAGAATTTATAATAAAATGTAAGCAAAATGTAGAGATTCAAAGTTATATTTTCTCATAAAAAAGTGACCTATTATTAGTTCCATTAGGTAATTTTTTACTATTTTTTCCTCATTACTTTTTTACTATAAATCTAAATTATTTAAATTAAATTTATATTTTAAAAATTATCAAATCTAAATAATCATATCTAATGATCCAAATTTGAAGTGGTTTTCCTAAAGAAAAACTCTATTAATTTTAATTATTTTTCTACATTTCCCGTAAGCTTCACATCATCTCTACTTTTTTCCTTCTGATGACGATAAACACAAGTTGAGCAAGGACCAGATCAGAGAATGAAACAAAAAAAAAAGTAGATCAAGACTTGATGTTGATGGTTCAGTCAAGTATAATGGTGCTGCAACTTGTGGAGATTTTATCACAGATGACAAGGATAATTGGATTAAAGGTTTCGCTAAAAACCTTAATTACCAACACATTATTACTGCTGAGCTTATAAGAATTTTAGAAGGGCCAAACATTTGTTGGAATGCAAAAATTCCAAAAATCAATGAAATACTGATTTTATGGAGGTCCTATCCCTTGTTAATAGCAGCTTGATCCAGAATCATCTACTCTTAGAAATAATCAAAAAAATTATAAATCTCATCATAAGAAGTTGGGAGGTCACTCTAAAACATGTCTAAAGAGAAGCAAATTGCTGTGCTGATCTTCTAACCCACGAGACCTCTAGTGAACATTTTGATACTACTCTATCCGATGACGCTCTAATAAATTGTAGAAATATTTTATCTTTTAATATGACTTGACTTTGATCTTTTTGCATGATATTTTTACTGTTGTCTTGTATTAAAAAAAAAAAAAAGCAGATCGAAGATCAATAAAGACGCAGAACGAAGCAAATGGCAGAGACCAAGAAGCAGATGGTAAACAAACGCCGACGATGCGAGGCAACAGATCGGGGGAAATTAAAGCCACCGGAGCGGAAAGATGAGAGGCAAAATGAAGAACACAAAAAACGAAGGGGTATCGCTGGTAATGCTGAGAGAAGCTGAGAGAACTATTCAGAAGAAACACACACGATGGCATGGCTTATATTTAAAAACTGAGGACTATCCTGCATTGCAAGTTGGTTGGTTCTCGATGATTGATGATTCCCTCTCGCTCCACGAAGAAATCCCATTCCAAGCGATAAATTCTGGCAAGTAATTCGCATCACGGCAAATTCTAACTTCGTGGGTGACAAGTGGAGCAACTACCGCTTAATCTTAAGAAATTGTTTTTTTTTTTTGGGGTGATATAAGAAACGGAATTTTATTTGTTGGCAAAAAAAAAAAAGGAATTTATTAAAGTACATTAGAGATATACACCTCTTATTCATTTTTATTTTTCTTGTGTTGTTTTCGATATACATACCGGACCCGGTCTCTGTGCGTTCATGACAGTTGTTTCCGCCGTCTTTCTTTGAATAGAAAATTTCTTCGGTCTGACCTTGACTAAACCCCCCGCCACGGGAGTTGACTTTTAAATGCTATTGTAGCACGCAATTACCCACGAAGCAGTCTGTTTTTACTTATCTGTTGAACTGAGGGACTTACAACACTTTTATATTAAACTAATTAACGTGTAAACAACAGTGGATGAAAAAAGAGAAATCAAAGGGGGAGGAGAGAGAAACAAGAAGAACGAAACCAGATGTTTGACGAGGAATGATTTGATCAAAGCGTTGATCTGAATAACGCTGGATCACTAGCGTGTCTCGTGGGATTAAGACATCTATTCTCCATCTTATTCTAGTTTTGGTTAACAACGGGAAGACAAAGTGCTCGATTCAAATGGGGATTTGCTGGGGTTCTCCAGTTGACAACCCAAGCACCGCCAGCACATCTGATCACCTTAGTGCAGGTAGCATAAGGAAACTTGTATCTGCTTGTTCAATCTCTTTCTCCTATTTCGGGAGGTTCACTTTACTTTCCATCGATTGGATTTTAAAGGACACTTCTATTGAATTGCCTCGATCTTGCTGATTATCTTTGCCGTATCTCTGTTCTGGAATTCTTTTCCTTTATCGTTGCTGGCTCTTTTATGCAGCTACAACGGGAACATCCCGGACTACTAGCAATACTACGACTGCTACTACATCTTATGGGAGTGGAAGCATCTCCATAAATAGCCAGTTTTCCGAGTCCATTGGCGGTGAAGCTTCTCCAAATGGGCAGATTTTGCCTACTGCAAATTTAAGGATATTCTCTTTTGCGGAATTGAAGGCTGCAACTAAGAATTTTAGAGTTGATACAGTACTTGGAGAGGGAGGTTTTGGAAAAGTCTTCAAGGGTTGGCTTGAAGAAAAGGCAACGCCAAAAAGTGGAAGTGGAACGGTCGTTGCCGTTAAAAAATTGAACTCAGAGAGCTTACAAGGATTTGAGGAATGGCAGGTAATTCTACCCTGCTTTGACGAAGATAATTGCCGGGGTTCACTTACCTTATTCGTGCCTGTTGAATTTAGCAGCTATTAAGGCCAGAGGGCAGAAATTTTAGATTAGGCAAAAACATTATTTATGCCCCCTCTGCCCGAATCTCGGGAAAGAAGAAATTTTCTTTCTGATAGATCCTGCATTCTAACAAGACAGATAAAATGCAATAACAGCAGTAAACAGCAGGAAGTTGAGGAATAACTGGGGTCATGATATTGATATTGGATGAGAACTTAGCCAAAACCCTGATCCTTCTCACACCCAAAGACGTAGTACAACAATTTTAACACAGTCCCAGACTCGTGAACAAAACTAGGAATACGCAAGGCAGTGACGCTGGACTTTTAGAGACTTCAGAACTCTCCCAACAACACTTCTACTTCCCAAAAGACTGAATTCCCCTCTTCTAGCTGAAATGGAAGTAAAAAAAAAAAAAAAATGCCCAAAAAGCTACAACAACACTGCTCATGCCCTAGCTGCACCTAAATCCAGCTCATTCACCACTTCTTTACCCTTACGGCCTGGATCCTCTTTGTAATTCTCTGGACTGCTGGTGCTACCGTTTCCTACATCCTTTCCCTACTTTAATCTTCTGCTACAGGTCCTAGGAAATGATTTGTAAATCCATTGTGAATCATCAGTTCTATCACATTCCTTCGTTGTTTTTTCTTCTAGCTGCGTCTCTTGTTCTCCTTTACTTCAAGCTTCTTCCTTGATTTACCTTCTCCAACAGAGATTATAGCAAAATGTTACTTTTATTTATTGGTAGATTTATATAGATATGAGTGAATGTTACAGGACATCATTGCAAATCCCTTTCCCCTCAAGGATAAGAAGTATGGTAGAATAGCATGTGCTATCAGTAAAAAAGGTTTGAGAATCTCAACACTTGCAAAATCTTCCTTCTTGTATTACTAAGATGGTACATTTAGCTGTAGTAGTGAGTGCTAATTTGTGCTTTAAAGTATATGGATCATTGCATGGCATGAACAAGTAAATAATGCAGCTCAAACCAAACTACAAAAAGCCGCATGTCCGATTTGTTTCCCATTTAAAGCTGTAATTTGTGTGTTTAGGGCAAACTTTATAATCCACATAATTTGATTAATTCTGTGGAGGAGATCAGTCCTCCCAAGAAGTTGAGACAGTTGAGTCCGCATTGGTTGTATCAATTTTTTTCAATTCATTTCGTAGGTCAAGCTGTTAGTTAAAATTCAAGATTTGTCTTATAATGCCAAAAAATCACTCTCAAAACAAGTATACCTTTGCATGGAATTACCTTAGAATTGTAGGAATCAATGAATTGTGGATTTATACATATAAATGATTTAATTATTGAGAAAAGAGCTTTACTTGTTTTCTTTAATTTCTGCAAATTTGGACTTGCAAATTTGTTGCAGTATTAATGGTTCATTCATGTTATGCAGTCGGAAATAAATTTTCTAGGACGGCTTTCTCATCCTAACCTCGTTAAGCTGTTAGGATACTGTTGGGAAGAAAATGAGCTTCTTCTCGTTTATGAATTCATGCAAAAGGGCAGTTTGGAAAATCATCTATTTGGAAGTGAGTGACTAGTTAAATATCACTACTTGGGTCAACTGAATAGGTCAAAACATGAAATAATCTGTTAGGGATCTTAAAAATTGATAACTAACATACTTTTGCTTTTGCAAGGGGTTCTGCTGTTCAACCACTTCCATGGGAAATTAGGCTTAAGATTGCAATTGGAGCAGCTCGTGGCTTGGCATTCTTACACACATCTGAGAAAGTAATTTACCGTGATTTCAAGGCCTCCAATATATTGCTCGATGGGGTGAGTTCTATAAAATATATTAATTCTTAACCAAGTATTAATAATAAGAGTTTGGGAGTATTTAATTTTTAGTCCTTAGAATTTTATACAATTTTAAATTTAGGTCCTATAATTTAAAATTTGTAATTGAATGAATCCTTCTTATTAACAAAATTTTTAAGGTAGTTCCTACTTCCTACTACTAAAACTTTATGAGTAATTATTAAATTTGATTGATGTAATTAATTATATGTTATTCCAATATGATGATTTATTGTAAAAAATACAATAGTATATAAATAATGAAGCAAAAATAACTCACTTCTATGACAAAATATTGATAAAAATATGATAACAAGGGCTAAATCTTATTTGAATCATCAGTATATTTTCTTTTTGCAATTTTTGTTTGATATAGTAAAGGAAAATGGTGTTTATTAGCAAGAGGGATGATAAAAGGAAAGGAAAAAAATCAAGGGAGTTAATTTTCATAAAAGGATTTTGACTTGGTTTGATCAACCTCCCATATGGTTATTTATACTAAAGTACGTTACCAAGGTCAAAAGCCAAACCCATGACTTGTAGTTATATTCTCAATAGCTATTTTGATTTGTACCATCCTTTTATGGATACAAATTTTGGTCCTATCTATTATCATTGAATTATGATAAAATGCATAATTTGGGTATATCAAAATGCTATTTTCAAAGAATAGTCATCAATGTTAGATATGTTTTTTAATGTAAAATAACTAATGAGGTGCATGACTTAAATTTGCGTTGGAATTTGGTTGTGGTACAGTCTTATACTGCTAAGATTTCAGACTTTGGTTTGGCAAAATTGGCACCTTCAGCTAGTCGGTCCCATGTAACAACAAGGGTGATGGGCACATTTGGCTATGCAGCTCCTGAGTATGTGGCAACAGGTTAACTCATGCATTTTTTTTTTATTTCTTCCTTTGGTTTTTATGTGCCTATTTATGTAGGATTTATTTTGTCATGAAAAGTAAATAATTATTTTGATCAACATCATCAATCAATATATGGATTGCTTTATCCAGGGCATCTATACGTGAAGAGTGACGTGTATGGATTTGGAGTTGTTTTGGTTGAGATACTGACAGCCCTTCGAGCACTGGATCAAAATCGACCTAGTGGCCAACATAATCTTGTGGATTGGGTGAAACCATACTTACAAGATGGAAGAAAATTGAAGGGCATAATGGATTCACGATTAGAGGGAAAGTATTCATCCAAATCTGCATTTCGTATAGCTCAACTTGCTTTAAAATGTCTTGCATTAGAGCCTAAACATCGGCCATCAATGAAGGAAGTCCTAGAGAACTTAGAGCGGATTCAAGCTGCTAACGATAGGTCTGTGGAGCCGAGACCTCGTTCTACCCGTAGTATGGCTCCTCATCATGCTTCTCGACCCTTGCGCCCTCAATCTCACTAAATCAAACATTCCTTACCATTAGTTCCATTGTATTATTTGTATCTCCAATTAATTAAAGCAAATCTCAGTTCTCCAATTTCTTTCTAATATAGTGAGATTTGTATTGTTGAATTATGTCTTACTAATTCTGTTTATGTAATTGATTACCGACAAGGGAAAAATTGTAGTTTCCATTTAATATTTTAATCCTTGAATTTGTGTTTGAATTATTGTGGCGTTGCGCCTTACTTGAAGCATAATAGATGAACAATGACTTAATGGGCTTAAAGGGTCAATCAATGATGACTAAGCAAAACTTAACTCGATTTTGGCAAGCTTTGCTAGGGCATTAGGCATTAGCATGTCTTGGGATCCATCTGAAGTGACAAGTGCTTATCAATCTTCTAAGACTGGTAAAGAATTTCACAATTGCTAGACATCGCCGTTTGGGGCAAAGCTGCTTACTAATTAAAATTTGTATAATGGAAAATGGTCAAAACAAATACTATTACCAAAAGTTATAACCTCATTAGCATACTTAAACCCCAAACCAAAACCCTCATTCCTAAAGACCTAAACTCTAAACCTTAAAGCTTGAATCCCTAACCCAAAATCTCAAAAGCCAACCCTCAAACTTGAAACCCCTAAACCAAAAAGCCTTAAACCCAAAATCTAATAATTCAACCTAAAGCACCAAATCCCAAATCCTAAACATAAAACCTAAAACCCCAAACTAAAAACCCTAATCCAAAAACCCCAAACTCAAAACCCTAAACCTAAACACAAATCAAAAAGTCCAAAATCCCTTAACCCTAAACTAAAACACCAAACTCTAATCTCAAAACCTGGAACCCCAAACCTAAAACCTAAAACTTCAATCCCAAATCCCTAAGCTCAAATCCTAAAACAAAAAACCCAAACCCCAAACCAAAAACCCTAAACCCTTAAGTCGAAATCTTTAACTTGAAATCCAAAATCCCAAACCTTAAACTGGAAACCCTAAAACCCTAAACTAAAAATCCTATCCCCAAAACCCTAAATCCCAAACCCCGAAGTTTGAATCCCAAACCAAAAATTCCAAAAGCCAAACTTAAAACGTCTGAACACGAAAACCAAAATCCTAATACCTAAACTCAAAACCTTAAAACCTCAAACTACAATCCCCATACATAAAACTAAAACCTCAAACCTTAAAGAATAAATCAAAATCAAAATTCCAAATCCCCAAACCCCAAAGCCTAAATCCCCAAACCCCAAACCTTGAAGCCCAAATCCCAAACTCAAAAACCTAAACCACATACCTTAAACCCCAACTATAAACCGAAAACCCTAAACCCCTAAGTCAAAACCACAAACTTAAAACTCCAAATCCTAATTTGAAAACCACAAACTTAAAAGCCTAAACCCTAAACCCCCAAGTATAAATCCTAAACCCAAAACCCTAACCCCAAACCCCCATTCTTTAAACCCCAAACCCTAATCTCAAAACACAAAAAACCAAACCCCAAACCTTAAGCCTAAAACCCCAAACCCTAATCTCAAAACATAAAAAACCAAACCCCAAGCCTTAATCACAAAACCTCAAACCCAAAACCTTAATTTTGAAAGCCTAAACCCTTAAATCTATACCCCAATATCAAAATGATAAATCAAAACCACAACCCAAAACCCCAAACCTGAAAACCTAAAAAGTTAGACTCTAACGACCAAACCTTAAACCTAAATCCTAAAATTCCAATCTCCAAGTGCCAAACGCTAAATCCCCAACCTAAAACCTCTAAGCCCAAAATCCAATCTCAAAATACAAAACAAAAACCCATACCCTTAAACCCAAATCCCTAATTCTAAACCCTTAATCTCTAAACTCCAAATCCCAAGCTCAAAACCCCAAACCTAAAGCCCCAATCCTAAAACTTTAATCTCAAAACCTTTAATCTTCAAACCCTAAACCTTAAGCGAAAAACCCCAAACCCCGATCTTCTATCCCAAATTCCAAAACCCAAAACGCTAATTTCAAAACTCTAATGCCAAAACTCCAATCTCAAAACCCTAAATCTAAAACTCCAAAGCCCAATCCTAAGATGCTAAACCCCCAATGCAAAATCACCAAGAACAAATCCCAATCTTAAAACCCTAAACCTAAACCCCCAATCTCAAAACTCAAAACCCAAACCCCAAACCAACAAGCCTAAACCCAAATCCTAAACCCCCAATCTTCAAACCTTAAACCTTAAGCTTGAAACTACAAACCCAAAACCCCAATCTAAAAATCCCAATGTAACAACCTTAATCTCCTAACCCTAAAACTTAAGCCCAAAACCCCAATCTTAAAACTCTAAATGCTTAAGTCCATATCCCAATCTCAAAATGCCAAACTAAAACCACAATCCCAAACCCTAACCCCAAACCCAAAACCGTAAAAATTAAACATTAATGATCAAACCCAAAACCCCAATCCTAAAATGCAAGCCTCCAAGCCCTAAACGCTAAACCTCCAAACCAAAAATCCAAATCCTTAACCCCCAATCTCAAAACCCCAAACCCTAAGCCCTAATATCAAAACCCCAATCTTAAAACTCCAATCTCAAAACCCTCAACCTAATACCCTACTCATAAAACCCTAATCCAAAACCCTAAATCTTAAGTCTAAAATCCAAAACCGAAAACCCCAATCTCAAAACACCAATGCAAAAACCATAAACTCAAAACCTAAAACCCCAAACCTTAATCCTTAATCTCAAAATCCCAATGCCAAAACCCCAAGCTCAAAGCCCTAGATCTAAAAACCTAATCACAAAACCCCAAACCCAAAATACCAATTTTAAAACCCTAAAGCCAAATCCCTAATCTCAAAACCCAAAACATCAAAACCTAATCCTCAATCTCAAAACCCTAATCTTGAAACCCAAACCTTTAAGTCTAAACCCTAATTTCAAAACGGAAAATAAAAACCATAACCCCAACCCCCAAACCCTAAAGACCAAACCCCAAACCCTAATCCAAAAACGCTAATCTTAAAGTCCCAAATGCTAAATCCCCAAGCTCCAAATCCAATCTTAGCCCTAATCTCAAAACACTAAACCTAAACCCCCAATCTCAAACCCTAACCCTAAAACCCTAAGACCAAAACCCCAAAATCCCAAGTCTAAAACCCCAAACGTAAACCCTTAATGTCTAAACCTTAAACCCTAAGCCCAAAACCTAAGCCCAAAATCCCAATGCCTAAACAAGGATCTCAAATTCCTAATCCCAAACCCCCAATCCCTAACCTTAAACCCTAAGATCAAATCCCCAACCTCAAAACCCTAAACTCAAAACCCCAATTGCAAAACACTAATCGCAAACCCCAAATCTCAAAATACAAAACCATAACCCATAACCCCCAATTGTAAAACCCTAATCCAAAATCCCCAATCTCAAAACACAAAACTTAAACCCCAAATCTCAAACTCTTAAGCCCAAAGCCTCAATCCAAAACCCCCAATGTCCAAACCCCAAACTTTAAGCCCAAAACTCCAATGCTAAAAACCCCAATCTTAAAACCCTAAACCTAAAAGCCCAATTGCAAAACTCAAAACTTAAAATCTCAAGGCCAAAACTCGAATTCCAAAACCCTAAACCTAAAACTCCAATATCAAAACCGTAAACCCAAAAAACCTAATTGCAAAACTTAATCATAAACCCTAATCTCAAAACCCCAAACCTTAAGCCTAAAATCCAAAATCCCAATCTTAAAGCCTAAAACCCCAAACCTAATCCCCAATCTCATAACCCTAAACCCAAACCCCATTTTCAAAACCCCAATTCTAAAATCCTAGTCTTAAAATCCCAAACCATAAGTACAAAACCCCATACCTAAAATCCCAATTTCAAAACCCTAATGCCAAAACCCCTATCTCAAAACCCTAATCACAAAATCCTAATCCTAAACCCCCAATCTCTAAACGCCGGATTATAAGCCTGAAGCCCCAAACCCAAAACCCTAGTCTCAAGACCCCAATGCCAAAACACAAAACCCTAAACCCTAATCACAAACCCCCAATCTCAAAACCCTAAACCTAAAACCCTAATGCCAAAACCACAATCTCAAAACTCAAAACTTAAAATCACCATCATAAAACACCAATCCTAAACACCCAATCTCTAAACCCCAGACCGTAAACCTAAAACTCCAATCTCAAAACACCAATGCCAAAAATCCAATCCTAAAATCCTAAACCTAAAAACCTAATTGCAAAAGCCCATTCCTAAGCCCCTAATCTCAACAACCCAAACCCAAAGCCCAAAATTCCAAACATAAAACCCTAATCTCAAAACCCTAAAACAAAAAACCCGATTGTAAAAGCCTAATCCCAAACCTCTAATCTCTAAATCCTAACCCTAAGCCCAAAACCCTAATTCTAAAACCCTAATGCCAAAATCCCAATCTCCAAACCTAAAACCCTTAACCCTAATCCTCAATCTATCAAGCCCAAACCCAAAACCCAAACTTCAAAACCTCAATGCTAAAACTCTAATCTCAAAATCCAAACCCTTAAGTCCAAACCCCAATCTCAAAATGGCAAACAAAAATTGTAACCCTAAACCCTAAACCCTAAAAGACCAAACCCTAAAGACCAAACCCCAAACCTTAATTCTAAAATGTCAATCTCAAAGTTGTAAACAATAAATTCCCAAGCTGAAAATCCAATCTTAAAGCCCCAATTTTAAAACACTAAATCGAAACCCCCAATCTCAAAACCCAAACCTCAAAGCCTTATGCCCAAAACTCTAAACCTAATATAATGTTCGTTTTGACATTATCAAGATAACATACTAACACACCGTTATAATAATCAGAATTAATTAAAATCCTAAGTAAAAATTATTACAACCTAAAGGTTTAAAAGTAATTAGTTTTAAAAAATAGGATTTTAAGAAAATCCTTTTAAAATATTGTTTGAGTTTAAACTGTAGTTTAAAATCAACTAAATAGAATAATGAAAGTAAGAAAATCAAACAGCACTTAAAAATAAGCTGATACAATCTAAAAAGTTTTCTAGAATTTGGCCTATCAACTCTAACGTAGGCCACAACCACCACTGCAGATGGCACATAGGGATGAATCCCTTATTGAGCATTGCGCCGCAGCCCAACTGCTATGTGCCATGGCACGTACCTACTGTTATGACAGCATATTAACAACACTTTAAACTTTTGGAGCGCGGCGTTTTGCCATCCAATGTCTAAT